GCATGAATTTGAATTCTGCCTTCTAACTACTGTCGCCACTTGGAGAGTTTCCATTATATGTCACAACTGCGTAAGATGTGCTTTTTCACTTATTGTATGCGGAGCCCTCTTCATAGTTTGTAACCTCCCCTTGTCTCTTAAAAGGGATTTGCAGTCCTTATTTCTGCCCTGTATCAAGAAAGGAATCAAAACTTGATTCAGTTTAAAGTGTTGGGGATTCTAGATCTGCTTTGGAGCCCAGCCTGTCTCCTACCCTGTATCTGATTGCTCATTCTATTCCCAAATTAATTTTAAGTTTGTGAGATCGTGTATGCTTGTCGGTCGTTCCTGAAAAGCGTTACTTTTCTTTCCATTTCAAGCACACTAATGCCGTGGTTATGACTTATTAGTTGTAAATAATTACTGTGAGCTTGCCTTGATCTGCTCTTTCTCAAATAAAATAATCATAAGAAATACTAAGCCAAGAAATAAGGTTATTTAAATACTTTTTGGGTTCTGAATTGAGATGTTGCAGAATATTGGCAGTGAAATCTTTGGGCAAGCCCCATCCTAAGAAATGGAAAAGAAATAGAAGAAGAAATTGTCTTTGTGTGTCTTCATGCAGTAACAATTGGATTGACTCACTGCGGTGCGCCTGCCAGAACCTGTACGCGGCTCTGTAAGCTTTGCTGGAACAGCTGCCTGAAAGATGCATTTGTACCACGGGTTTTGAGAATTGTTTGTAACCTTTGAGCAAGTTTACCTAACCAGTAACGTAGAAGGTGATTAAACCTGCATGGTAGTCCAAAGGGTTACTTTACCTGAGCAGTCTGGCTTCTTGTGAACAGTGTCAAAGTCGGCCATATGGCGCCATATGCTTTGAAATAACTGCCTTGCCTTGGAGTTTGGAAATGAAATTAGTTATTTCACCAGTTAAAGTATGTAAGGTTTAAAGTTAATTTATTTTCATAAGGGAAAATAACGTATCCGCTTTATTGCTGAACAGGATAGTTACTGTGTTAAGTCAGGGTCTTTCTATTGATGGGTTCTGGAACTTAGATTTAATTCCTTTAGTTAGGCTTTCTAACCGTTGTGTCATACATTGGCCAGAACAAGGGGATCTTGTATAGAAGGGGGGAGTAGATTTTGCACCCTGGCTCCAGCATGTGCGAGCTGCAGGGTCTTAGGCGGGTTAGCTGGCTGTTGCCCTCGTCGTTAGAGTGTGCGGGGGTGGTCACAGCCACAGCCGAGTGTGGACGGTGCCTGTCACGTTCCGATCCCATGGTGGACACGGCACGTGATGCTGTGACTTACTCCGCAGAGGTGCCGTTCACCCTGCTCTTCAAGGGTGCGGGCCAAGTTCTGCACAGAGAGAATATGAAGGTGAAGATGACTCAGAAAAGTTCACAGTTGAAAAGGAGGAAGCACATCTGTTGGGCCTCTCATTCTCCTGGCCTAGGTCTGGTCATGGTGAATGAGGCTGGGTCTAGGAGGTTCTGATTCTCTTTTAGAGAGTGCAGAGGTGCTTACCCAGGTGAGCTGTAGTCCGTCTCCTCTTTCTTTGTATTACGTAGTGTCTGCTTGGCCTCAGATGTGCTTGTTGGTGAAACAGGACTTTAGCAGATGATTCCTTTAACATTTTTCCTTATTGCTAAAAATCTTTCACCTATCACCAAGCTGTATTTTCCTCAACTAAATAGATTCTTAAAAAAAAAGCCGCAATGGCATTCATGATTAGTGGCATTCAAGTCCTTCTATCTTAGCAGGACCTAGTTATGATTTTTACAAAAGTAAAACTGTTTTTAAACAGTAGGGGTAACACGTTTATCAAAAACTTCAGAAAATATTTTTTTCCTCACTGCCACTCCCTCCTCCACTAACAGCTTGCTGGTTTATATTGAGCCACCCACTTCTGGAAGCCATGGTTTCTGGAAGATTCCGTGGTTACTGTTGGCTAGGTCAGCAGACACTGACAATACATGTATGTCTGCTGATTCTCACGTGAGATACACTCGTACGTTCTGCCTAATTGAACTAGTGTGTAAATCCCAAGTACATCCTGAATGAGGGGTAGGTTTGGTTTGATCATACTGGTTTATCATTTCTGAGTGTTTGTTTGGAGATAGCTTTCACAGTTTTCCTCCAGAGGTCACGGTCTCTACTCTAGGTCTCAAACAGGTTTTGTACCTGCAGGCTCATTTTGTTACTGTGTATATAATTCTCTGAAGGGGAAATTTTCAGAATCTGGGATGGCATTTTCATGGTACCTGTTATTCCCAAAGAGCAAGTAGAGCAAAAAAGTCAGAACTTTGTCTAACTTTCTCACTTTAGGAGAGTACATTCACCGAAGTTAGATATTCAGTAGCAAGGAGAGAAAGTTGTGGGATTTTTAATCCTATGCTTGCAACAGGAAGCATGGTTGGATTACATGATCATTGATGTACAGGAAATTAAGACAAATCAATTTTATTCAAAACAAACCCAGTAGAAACAAAGAAACAAAGAGGTCCATTTACTATAGTTCTGTCGTTGGTGGTTAATAGTGAACACACTTTGCCAGGTCTTTTTTTCTGGTTGTATCATACCTGACATTTATTGCAAAGATATATCTTTTATCTTTTGCTTGTGTGTATCCCAGCCAAGCCACCATTTCGCACTAAACCTGTTGAGTGACTTTCTCTTGTATGCCATTACGATTACTAACTGCCAAGTTTTGTGACTGAAGGCTGTATTTTCTAGCCTTGCTAAAATACGAATTTAAATTCTGTTAGATAAATATTGAGCAAGCTCTACATTTACAAGTAGCTAACAGTTTTTATTTTATTTAGAAACTTATCACAGGATGTTTTTAGTACATTTGTTGGTGAAAGTAGTTCCTTGGCAGAATTAACCATGTTGCATGTAGGCAGTCATTTACAAAGAGCCAAGTTTTATCATTTATTTTTATTAGAAAATATAGTGATTTTTGCCAAGATTTCCCAAAATAACCATGCCTCATTACTTCAGTGGTAGGTAGTGGTTTTGCAGTAAAAATTATTGGTCGGATTATTATAGGGGTATATTTAGAAATACTGAAGTATTTTAACCTCTAATAATTTGCTTTTTGGAGCATCATTAATACTCCAGATTTTTTTTTCTTCTCAGTTTTACATATAGCATTTCCTCAAATAGTCATGCTCATAAAATGGGGAAGTGGGAGGCAGCAGTTGATTCATTCCTTTGATATTTGGGTATCTCCTTGGGAGACAGTTAAGAGTGAAAAGTGTTAAAATTTTGACAATATATATACAGATTGAAAAATGTCTGCTTTTAATATTTAGGTTGATCATAAGCCAAAATGCCTAGAAATAAATACCAATATAAGTTTGAGGAAGTAAACTGTTTTTCCCCCAACAGAATGATAGCAAGGTTAAACATACTCTCGAGATAACAATATCGTTTGTATTACTGTCCTTTCCACTGATGAGTGTTTATGCCGACAAGAGAGAATAATTTATTACACGTGAAAAATAGAGCTTGATATTGATGTTCCCTGGACAAAAATGTAAGATAACTGCACTGTTTGGTGACAATTGTCTTGACAGCATCATATATCTTACTTTATTTAATTCTTATAGCACTGCAGTCCCCCAAGCCCCGGGCTGCACAGCAGGAGGTGAGCGGCAGGCCAGCTAGTGAGGCGTCATCTGTATTTACTGCCGTTCCCCAGGGTTGGCATCGCCGCATGGCGTTAGATTCTCGTAGGAACTGCCCGCGCGTGCAGGGATCTGGGTTGTGGCTCCTTCTGAGAATCGAATGCCCCATGATGGGAGGTGGGGCTGAGGCCGTGATGCTGGTGCCGGGGAGCGGCTGCAAGTACAGATCATCGTTAGCAGAGCAGCTTGCGCAGTAAATGTAATGCGTTTGCATCGTCCCAAAACCACCCCCGCCCTAGGTCCGTGGAGAAATTGTCTTCCATGAAACTGGTCTGGTGCAAAAAGGTTAAGGACCACTGTATCGCACATTTCATGTCCCTGGCACTGTTCTGAGTGCTTTACGAATATTCGTTCAACACTAACTCATTTAATGGTTACTTATTCTAGTTCAGTCAGAGCAGGGATGGGGAACCTTTTCACGTTGGGAGGCCGCATTAATTTAGCTGTGATCAAGCCCACACTCAAGTAACTTCAACTAGATAAACCTAAAAATGTACATTATTTTGTAAAAATCTAACTACTGTGTACTTAATAATTTCAAAAGATGAAAACTATTAATTTAAAAGTTAACCTTTTAGTGACTTTGTTGTGTCTGCTTTTTGTTGGAAAGCATTTGAATATTTGGTTGCAGCATGGAGGTCCATGGTTTCAGTTGACCCTCTACATGGGTATCAGTCATTTGTGACCTTAAGGGCATCTTGATTTGGGTGAGGTAGGAGAAGGTAGATTCGCAGCAGTAAGTGGTTGAAAAGCAAGAAAGCATTTTTCAGGCATGTTGCCAAAGGCGTGGGCATTCTACTGCATTTTTCCATATTTCACTTGGGTGTTTCTTAGCATCAAACAATGACTTTAAAATGTCATCTACTGAAAGTCAATCAATTTCAGCTATAGTTCTTTAGGTGCCTTGGTGATATCAACTAGGTGAGGCTGAAATGCTAATTTGAGTGTGATGTCATGATTCTCAAAGTCAGTTAACTTCTCATAGTATTCTCCTGCTAATGGGTCTATAACAGCTCAGGGCCAGCAACAAATCCTGCCTTGTGGTAGTTCTGCTTTAATGTTTGGAATGTGTGAACAACTGAGATTTGCGATGATAAGGGGCGTGCGCTGAACTGGTTTCTGTTGTAATCCTACAGTTATAATGACATATTGTAATGGTATAATTGTAAAACTTACATTTCCAGGAAAATGAAGCATTTGATAAATAAGGAAAACTTACACCTATCCTGTCCCTGTTTTGCACATCAGGCATATCTTCTATTTACATGCTAAAAAGTTATTAGAGATTATTTCATATCATGCACTGTCTGTCCCCGCCCCCTCCAGCATGCTCGAAGACGACCTTCAGCTTAGTGACAGCGAGGACAGTGACAGCGAACAGGTAAGTTTTGTACACCCGTCAATACCAGGAATCCTTTTATTGATATATCCATCGAACGTATCTGAGCTGCTTATTCTAACCTATTTTTTGTTCTTTTCCTGGTCCTTTCCCCCTTTACTGTGAATGCCCAGACCCCAGAGAAGCCTCCTTCCTCATCTGCACCTCCAAGGTACCGTGCGGGTTTCTCCCCATCCGTACAGAACATTCGCTTTTTTGTTTTTTTTTTGTTTTTGTTTTTGTTTTTTACCAAACAGGAAAAATAAAGCCTTCTTTAGTACTTTCCTAGTTTCTTCACGGGGAAGGAGATGGAGGATCACAGTAAAAGGAACGTACCTGTTTAGTATTTTGGATGCTTAAATCAGCCGCAGGGGAGGTTGTCAATCCTACAAAAGCAGGAGTCCCTGCACCCACCTTGACTGCAAATTTAGATGTTAAAGATTTTTGAGAATTTAAAAATAAGCTTAAAATACAGTTTATCATCAGTACTGTGTAACCAATATTTGAAAAGTTAGATCAAAGAGCCCACTATTTTTATGAAGGTGACAGGTTTGCTATGTTTCAAAAATTGTAAAGTTGAATTATTTCTAGGACTTGTTTTCCATTTTGCCTGTTTTCTTAGTTTGTAAGAATTTTCTAATTGTTTTAGCTGCTTGAAAGAATGACCTGCGGTGTATTTTAGCGTGATAGGAAATGGCACTGTTTTCACTTTGTAAATAAGCCAGCCATATTTTAGAAAATGATGCTCTAATTTTTGGAATTGGGAACTATTTGAACTAGTTTTGTAATATTTTCTTCTGGTACCGAATTTGATGATTTAATATGGCAAACACCTGCCCTTCTTGGACAGAGAGTTAAATTATTTTACTCCCTGAGATGTGCTTATCATTCAGAGACAAGATCAGCAATAAAAAACTTGTCTGTTGTACTGGTGACCTTATAGTTAACTCGGACGAAGGCCATGTAATTATGCAAAGTCTTAAGGATTCTTATATTTCCTTATTTATTTGTATCTCATTTTGCTCAGTAATTTCTGGTGGGTTGTGACAACTCATAAAACATGACAAGGTAGCCTAATTTTTAAAAGTGAAGGAAAAAGAACAACCAAGATGGGGATAAATCCAAGGCAGGTGACACACTGAGCGTGCATCCCATTCTCATCATCAGCGGCTTACGCGCCTCAGTTACCACGTGAAAAGGACGACACGCTTGATACAGCATTTCTGTGACGAAATGACACAGTGGTAGAGTGTTCGTTTTAAAATTATCTCAACCAGTGATTTCCTTATTATTTACTCATTTTTATTCTAACGTGTTACTTAATAAAAATTTATTTAAAAATAGGTAGATTTGGAAGCTTTCAAGATTATAGTTAATCTATACTTATTAATTATATTATAATCCTATTAATGTATTTAATACGAGCTAGGGCAAGGTTTTAAGATTATTAATAAATACATGCTTCGAAATTTTAGATATGTCTAGTACTATGATAAATACATGTTTTCTCCGTGGCCTAGAATTATTGCCCTATTCTTAAAACTTGGAGTAATAATCTCTACTTTGGCTGATTTTTGGGGGAATAATCCCTCAGCCACTCATAAAGAATGGCCCATTTTATAATTCTGCCCGAGAAGTGTGAATAGATTGCTTCTGAGCTCACCTTCCGGAGGAAAACCATTTTACATTCAGTGGTCTTTGGCTACCACGCGGTTAGTTCTCATGTCGAGAATATAAGCAGATTTTAGCTCATTGACTTTTCTTTTATGAATTAATTTGTTTTGGTTATATACACAGCAGGGGTCTGCAAACTTAAAGGACCAGATGGTAAATATCGCAGGATTTGTGGGCCGCATAAGTCTTTATTTTGGCTACTCAACGGTGCTGAGTAGCATTTTATGCCGTCGCGTAAACGCAGACATGGTACCTGCAAGAATGGGTGTGGACGTGCTCCAACAAGACTTTATTCAGGAAAACGGGCAGCCAGCCCAGGCCCTCGTTTACTGGCCCTTGATATGATGCACCCAGCTTCTAACTTAAATTTTTTATAGTTTGAGACGTTCAGGAGTGAAATCTCACAGGTGTCTCTTTTGTGCAGTTGTCTGATGAACTGTTTGAAGGGTTTTCCGCCGTGGGCCCCGTCGACCGGAGGGTGCGATAGTTGAGTCGCGGCAGGTCTAGTGCCGAGGCCCTTCCCGCTGAGGAGCAGGGCAGGCAGCGGGTGGAGAGGACGAATCCACCTGGCGTGGTGTCTTCTAATTTTATCCCCCGGTTGCTTTCCAGCGCTCCGCAGCCGCTCCCGGGGCCGGCGGCCTCAGCACATTCCAGCAGCGCGGAGTCGGAGAGCACCAGCGACTCGGACACCTCCTCGGACTCGGACAGCGAGAGCAGCTCCAGTGACAGCGAGGAAAATGAGCCCCTGGAAACGCCGGCTCCGGAGGTACCGTGTCCCCCTCGAGACGGCCGCCTCAGACGGAAGCGTTGTGTCCTCTGGGCTGGAGTCCGTGCCGTGGGCCGGGACTGACCACGAGACAGCAGTTCTGTCTCGTGGGCGGCACGTCCCTGCGCCCGTGCCGTAGAGCCACCTGCTTCTCTTTCCAGGCTGCTTACCAAGTGCCGGGGTGTGAAGAGCTGGGAGAGATGTCTTCTCCCCCGTTTAAAAATGACAGGGTCTTCCGTTGTTGCTGGTGTCATCTTGAAGAGCAACTCACTAAGGATGTTTGCACACCACTTTATTTTCCCTTCCTTTGAAAAAGAAAACTTGTTTGCAGGAGGCTGCTGTTCTAATATTCATGAGAATTCTTTTTGAAATTTTAGGAATGCGTGAATTAAGGAAAGCGAAAGGAGACCGCCTGATTTAGCACAGGGCAGAACGTGAACCAGAAATGAGCCATCAGGCGTTCTATTTTCGAGTCACTGAAAGCCGTGCTATTAAATTGATGGCAGAGCCGTTTTGCCAGGGCTTCCCTCCACCCCCGGCCTGTGTAAGACAGGGCGACCATTGGCTTGTCAGCCACCCTCAGCAGACACTGCAGAGATGAGACTGCAAACCGAGACTGCAAAGCTCAAGCACTACATTTCTCTGGAGGGTTTATGCTATTGACTGGGTTGTTGAGCACAAGAAATTATTAGTAACAATAAAAAAGGTTGCCAAATACCTCCAGCCTCGGGTGGCAACGTAAACACTATACTAGGGAAGGAAAGTAATGAAAAGGGAAGAAGACATTCCTGTTTTATTTTTGGTGAATGAGACCGTCCCATACAGAGAAACTCTACATATTTCAGAAGGGAATGCCAGGAAAGGAAGCTTTCTGGTTAAGAAAACATTAAAGTTTTCTGTATTTATCTCCGTTTAGAAAGCAAAGCAGTTCCACTGGAGCAACAATCGAATCTATCCGGAGCTCATGCGGTGGGAGTTAATTAAGGGCCTTGTCTGAGGGCAGCGCAGGCTGAGAAAATAGCTGGTGTCACTTTCTGTTAGATGTGAGTCTGTCTGGCACAGGGTACGTGCTCGGCGCTTTTTGGCGTGAATGAACACGGATCAGCATTAACTGCACTCGAAGTGCCTTTCAGATTTTAGCAACTGCTCTGTTTCTGGGACTCTCTATTTCCTTGTGCGATACTGATTACTGTTGAAATAATTTTTCTGTGCCTCGGGGAAAAGGGTGCTGAATGTGCTTTGCACACAAATTGTATGATATCCACAGTTAATATTTGTAAGATCTTTGCTTTGTTTCACCTTATTCAATGAGGAAAATCTGCATGCTTGTTAGATTATTGGTATAAAAAAGATAATTAAATAATAAAATTCCATTCAAATAAAATGGAAATGGTACAGATTTGGCTGAATAGGTGAAACTTGAAAAAAAATTTAACCATGTGTTTCTTGTAATGAGACATAGTTACATTTTATTGCTCAAGAAGTTACTAGAATAGATTGAGACCTCTTAGATCTGAATTAAAAGCTTCCAGCCAGGCATGGCGGCTCATGCCCGTAATCCTAGCACTTTGGAAGGCTAAGGTGGGAGGATCACTTGAGGCCAGGAGTTCAAGACCAACCTGAGCACCATAGTGAGAACCTATCTCTATTAAAAAAAAAAATAGAAAAATTGGCTGGGCATGGTGGTGCGCACCTGAAGTCCCAGCTGTCTGGGAGACTGAGGCAGGAACATTGCTTGAGTCCAGGCATTTGAGGCTGCAGTGAGCTATGATGATGTCACTGTACTCTAACCTGGGCCTGGGCAACAGAGCAGACCGTCCCCCCGTAACCCCCCCACCAAAAAACCTCTCATCCTGCTTTATTTTTTTAAAATCAGTTTACTGAAATGGCTCGTATTCGTACACATGTATTGATGTGCATATCCAGGCTTGGGGACATTATGTGCGTTATGTACTGAGGTTCATCTTCCTGGGAATGTTTTATCTTTATTTAGATTTTAAACCTTTAATTTTCCCTAAGATATTTAACTACTTTTCTTTCCTTTTAAAATAAATAGCCTATGATATTATAAATCCCCTGTGTTAGTTGAAAGTAACATAGGCTGGGTGTAGTGGCTCACTCCTGTAATCCTAGCACTCTGGGAGGCTCAGGCAGGAGGATCGCTTGAGTTCAGGGGTTTGAGGCCATTCTGAGCAAGAGTGAGACCCCGTCTCTACTAAAAATAGAAACAAAAAATTAGCCAGGCATGGTGGCACATGCCTGTAGTCCCAGCTACTCGGGAGGCTGAGGCAGGAGGATCCCTTGAGCCCAGGAGTTTGAGGTTGCTGTGAGCTAGGCTGATGCCATGGCACTCCAGCCCGGGCAACACAGTGAGACTCTGCCCCAAAGAAAAGAAAATAACATGAACTTCATAATCAGCCATAGATATTAGTTTTAACTTTTTCATCCACTTCCTATTTTTAATGCTATGAAATTTGCTTCTTATGGCTTCATTTTAATTCATTTCATTTGATGGTGTCCCAGTGATCTCAGATCTAGAACGGTACACGCGTGCCAATGGGCTCGTGCTGAACTTGGAAACCAGCCGCAGTAGATTCCATTTCAGTGTCCGCTTTATCATGTGACTCTCAGCTTTTCAAAATATGAGGACACATTGCCTTTTTGCTCCTGAAGTTTAGAAAAATGTGATTCCATTCTTGATTATTCAGGAATCTGCTTAGTTCTGTTTACTGTCCAGTCCTTTGGTAATGAATTATCTTGCGTTCATTGCCTAGTGGGGAGCTTTTTCATAAATTGTTTGATTTAACCCTCACCATCCCTGAAGTTTGATAGCTCTCTTTCTGTCTGTAAAGAAGTTAGGAGCACTAAATTTCAAATCCTTAGCCATTTAACTCTGAAACCTGTTTTTTTCCCCCCTACTATACCAATTTTTAAAATACCTGCTATACCTATACCTACATTTATTATAAATCTCCGGTGTTGAGAGTAACATGAATACCATGATGAGCCATACATACTAGTTTTAACTTTCTGCCTCTTTATTCTATTTTTAATGTTCTTTTAAAAAAAATTTGCACCCGTGTTCTCCACAGCTGTGTAGTTTTAGTAAAAAGGTAGGCATGTTTTGTGCCTAACTGAAGACTTCTTATTCAAAACCACCATTCATTCTAAAAATTGCTGACTTTTGCCAATTTAAGAGGTTAGGAGAGTCAAAAGGGCATACGGGCAAACATTTATTAAAATACTTAATAAAAAATAATCATGCTTTTTTCCTACCTGCAATTTGTAGTAGTTGGGTTGCACTGGGAGGAGGGAAGGAGGGATGAGGAAGGGCAGAGGGAGAAATGAAAGTCCAAACCTTGATCCTGTCCAGCACTTACCTACTAAAAATTTATTTTAAGATGTACCTTTAATCAATCCCTTATACAAATATTTCCCCCATCTCGACACCCAAATAATATCTGGCCTTAAAGGAATCTTATCCATTTTACAACTTTTTATTGGGTACAAAAAGAGGATTGCCCCTTGTCTGACACAATAACTCAATTTTGCCCTGAAATTGGGCCATTAGTCTCCCTTCTGGGCATTTTCAGGACCACAGTGGAAGAAAATGTTTTATTTCTGAAACCGGGACATTCCTTCAGGGACGACTAAATGTATCTCAATACTGCCCTGTTTTGGGGGGAGGGGGGAAAGCTATGTTATTTTTTACCAGGAACAGTGTGCCTTTTGGTTCACACATAAACAGTCTTCTAAAGAACGTGTCGGTGATGGGTGTGCAGTGGTCAGCGTAGCTGGTGGGTGAGATACGTCCATCCCTTTCCTGAGGAAGGGCGTGCAGGGCTGGTTCCCGATGATTGGCAGGTGACGCAGCTCACTGCCCTGTCCCATCAGTTAGCCACTAGTGTGCTGCGCCCTCAGAGCTTTTGCAGGAAATCATGTTTGACAAGAAGGTATTGTGTGCTAATCTTTTCTCTACCCTTCACGATCTTCCTGCCTTGTTAGAATATTGAATGCAGATTTGGATTATGCGTGACAAAAATGCACGGCCACATAATAGTGATTTCCTTCTCTCCTGCCTCCCTGCCCTGAAATTCACAAGAGCGGGGTATACAGTTGATGCAAGTGAAGGCAGAAGCCACAAAGGAGATAGGTTTCCATGTGCAGTAGTTTGGGGAAAGCAATAAAAAAGGAATGATACAGTCTTCTTTCTGCCCGAAGGATGGTCCTACCGGGGTTTCTTAAAGCTCCTCTTAGTTCTGTTACAGTCACACGAAGCCCTACCTGACCATTTTATTACCTAACCCTTTTCTGACCAAAAAGCCTTGATGTCATATCCACATGTTTTCCATATTTTTGTGGATTGAATTATTTGGGACATTCCACTCGGAAAACTGTCAGCAATCTTCCCCTTAAAAGCCTCCACCTACGGGAGGGGTCTCCTTATTCAGTCAGTTGAATACCACGTGGAATATCTTTCCATCAACTTCCTGGTGCATTGTGTATATGACTTACAGACCACTGTCGGAATGGAGCTTTAGAAAACCACGTACGCCGGTGATGTACTGCCCTTAAGATAAGTGCAGTCATCGTTCACTATTAAATTATGTCGCTCCATTAATATAGAATTTGTCAGTATAGCCACACACCTACAGGAATGTGCAAATATCTCGTCCCCACCGTATGCAAGCTACAGTAGAGGGACCTGGAGAAACACGGGTCTCTGTCATTCTGTTAATAAGGTCTGATAGCCTCGTAAGACCTGGTGGGATGCAGCAGTAGTTTAATTTAGCAACAAAAGTTGAAAGTTCAAGAAACAGTAGAGGCCAGAAACTTCTGTTTTTACCAAACCAATTGCACAGGTAATCAGTATAATCTCACTGCTCTTAAGGTTGCGCCTCCCTTTGTGTCCTAGAAACATAGGTGCTTTTTCAGACCAGGTTGTCTGTAACAAGAGACTTAATGTTTGACTTTTAAAGAATCCCAAGTGGGACTAATGCTTGCCTAATGTGACCTCACTTGATTCTTTTAATCAAGGTGTAAAATGTGAAAATCAGTATATATCTGTGATGCATTGGTAACCTTGTCACATATCAATGTTTAATGTATGATGTTTTTAAGTAAAAGAAATGATGTCAATTCTTGAAGGAAAGTCATTTTCAGTTGAAAAGTATGTCAGAAAAAAAGACAAAGCATGAAACCCAGGCACAGTCACTAAAACTTAGTTTATTCATTACCTACCTTCTGAAAATCCTTGATAAGAGGATTTCTTTATTCTCCATTTTCCCCTATTATTCTCTCATATTGTAATTTACAGGCCAAAATGTGTCAGTTCTGTTTAAATTATACTATAATTACATTAGAGCAAAACATTTGTACTACAAAGATTTCTTAGGTGCCGACAGCCTATAAGTCAGTATCTACTATGACAAAGTTCTCAAGCTATAAAAAAATTGAAGGTTATTTTAAGAGTTGATCGTTATGGTATTTGACTTATAATTTGAGGAGGATACGAGGAACCTGAATTCCTGGGTTTGGGATGGCTCCAGGACAGGCCTGTACAATGGGTGACCGACACAAAAGCCTTGGCGTCATTGGTCGGCTAACACCGTTCTCTGTTTTCTTGTTTTCAGCCCGAGGCTCCAACGACAAACAAATGGCAGCTGGACAACTGGCTGACCAAAGTCAGCCAGCCGGCCGTGGCCCCCGAGGGCCCGGCGAGCGCAGAGCCCCCGCGGCGGCGCCAGGAGAGCAAGGGCGGCGGCGACAGCGGCGCCGCGGGTCAGGAGCGCCCTGAATCCAAAGATCCCACCCCGAAAAGCTCCGGCAAAGCCCCCCGGGTCCCCTCCGAAGGCCCCCACCCGGGCAAGCGAAGCTGCCAGCGGTCCCCCGCGCGCCAGGAGCCCCCGCAGCGGCAGAGCGTGGGCGCCAAGCAGCCCCGGAAGCCCGGCAGGGCGCCCGCGCAGGCGGAGAGCGAGCCGGGGCCCCCTGGCGGCTGCACAGACCGGCCCCGGGCGAAGACGAAGGGCCGCCCCCGCGCGGGGACAGGCGGAGAGCCCGGGCCCGCGGCGCCCGCCTGCGGCGACAAGAAGAAGCACAAGAGCTCCCTCCCGGCGCCCCCCAAGGCGCTCCCCGGCCCCGAGGCCACGAAGGACGCCGGGCAGGACGGGAGCCCGGGGCAGCTCGCCCTCGTCCCCCTGACTCAGAGCCAGGCTGCGCCCCGCGGCGGCGGCGGCGGCAGGACTAGTGGCTGCCGCCAGGCCGTGGTCGTCCAGGAGGACGGCCGCAGGGACAAACTCCCGTTGCCTTCGAGAGACACCAGGTTGCTCTCGCCGCTCAGGGACACTCCGCCCCCGCCGAGCCTGATGGTGAAGATCACCCTCGACCTCCTCTCTCGGGTCCCCCAGCCACCCGGGAAGGGGAGCCGCCAGAAGAAACCGGAAGATAAGCCGCCGCCCGCGGGCAAGAAGCACGATTCCGAGAAGAGAAGCTCGGACAACTCGGGCAAGTTGGCCAAAAAGAGAAAGGTGAGTGTGGGGAGGCTGGCCTCCACCGCGCGGGGTCTCTGATCGCTTTAAAGCCGACCCTGAGTCGTTTTGGCGGGGGCCGGGAACCCTGGCTCTGGTTGCATGTGGCTCTTTCTCCCGGAGTGGCGCGTTGTCTGCGCTGGGATGCTGCTGGCTCTGCGGGAGGCGCCCACAGGCGTCCGCGCCCTCCTCCCTCTTGCTGGTTTGAAGAGACGAGGCAAGCGTTGACAATGACAGCTTCCTTTAGGATGATGTAGCATTTTGGGGTGCATTTTTATTTATTTTGAGAACATTGGTATCTACCACCTGGCCTGTTGGGGTTTGCCCTAAAAATTAAGATCTTCCATGAACTGAAATGCAAATTAGTATTCTGAATTATCGACAGTGCTGCGTGTGCAGGTTTTCCTCTTGCAGTATGATCTTTAATAGCAATATTGCATCCATATTTTAGCTCATGACCATATAACACCTCATTAGAATTATTAAACGTATGGATGGGATATCTCGTTGAGTAAGATAGGCTGCTGTGGGACACGGCAAAATATGGGACATCTGTCACTTGATAAGTTTTCGAACTTTCATTTGGACATAAAATGGACATAGTAAAAAAAAAAAAAGTCCTGCATTATTTAAGATCCTATATTACTTGTACATACCACTAGGTTAGTCTGTTTCCTTTGTTTTGAATGGTTGAGCTCTTGATGTATTTTTTGCTTCTTCACAACGATGAAAGAAGAATGAGTTTTTCCCCACTGGCATTCCCAAGCCCACCTGCCCAAGACACAGAGACCAAGGCACCAGAAGGGCCAATGCTCTCCTGAGAAGGAATAAAACTTTTAACACTGCTCTAAGTACATGAAAAACTTCTGACTCAGCTGTGGAAGCTGAGCTAAGAATAACAAAGGAAAAAAAAGACCATGAAGCCTGCTGTCGTGGTGTCTGAGATAAGACTGATTAATCCACTAGGTTAAAAATATAACACGACTTTACCGCATGGTAAAGGGCGACTGTTTTCTCAGAACCTTGTCGCGTGAGACAGGAGGGTGCGCACGGCCACCGCAGCTGCAGTGGGCAGGTCGCATGGGATGGGACCCAGTGCGGACTGCTGGTGCTGTTTCAGCTGGAAAAGGGCATGTTTTCATTTCAGAAACCTTAAAAATTTTTTTAGGTGGGATTGGGGCTGTTTGTGTGTGAAAGGTACAAACCTTTATGGAGGAAATTGTGCTGGACTTAGTTTGGAAAAAGATACCTGCATCTCTGTTATACCTGAGATAACTTCGAGAATACCCTCATTGACCTGGCCTGGTGGCTCACACCTGTAATCTTTGCACTCTGGGAGGCCGAGGCAGGAGGATCGCTTGAACTCAGGACTTCAAGACTGGCCTGAGCAAGAGCAGGACCCTGTCTCTACAGAACATAGAAAAATTAGCTGGGTGTGGTGGCTTGCACCCATAGTCCCAGCCACTTGGGAGGCTGAGGCAGGAGGATCGCTTGAGTCCAGGAGTTTGAGGCTGCTGTGAGCTATGACGATGCCATTGCACTCTAGCCCGGGCAACAGAGCAAGACTGTCTGCAAAAAAGAGAATACCCTCATTACCTCCCCCATCTCCTGTATCTCCCAGCTGCCACGGTCATGAGTGAGAAGTGTTTGCTTCTAAAATGCTTACCTGCCAGGTGGAAATGATAGAAATTAGAGAATTAGCCCAGAGAGTTCTCAGCCCAGTTCATGCCCCAATGCAAATATAGAAGTGTTGCTCACAGCTCTAGAAAGGGAAACTTTTAGCTCTCCCTGTTTACTGTAAGAACTCTGCTCTCTAAAAGCCGTTCCCAGGCTTTGGCTGGACGCCTCTAGGGCAGCTCTTTTATCTTTGTTTGGAGCACGCAGAAACAATGATCCCCTCATCTTAATTGAGTGTGTGATTTCTGTAAAGCTCTGGCAAGCAGCTGAGGAAGATCAGGCCCTGGGACAAGTCACTCGCTGCGGTACTGGCAGGATTGATGTCCGACCCATGAGTCCCAAAGCCTGGCTACACGTTACAGTCACCTTGCGCAGCTTTAGCTCCAGTGGCGGTGGCGGTGGTGGGGTTCCCCTCCCCCACTGCTATTCTTTAAATTCCTCCTGCAATCCTAGTGCCTATCGGAGCCGGGAACCACTGAAGCAGAGCCTGGCTGCAGGGCCCCGGGTCGTGCAGAGCCGGGTCTTTGGATTAAAAAATTCCTCAGGTGTGCAGTGTTCGGACGTCACCGACCGAGGCAGCCAGAATTCCTTTCCTGAAGTAGGTTGTTAGTTAGAAACATTACTTAGAAGCTTCCAGACAAATAAATATAAAAACCAGTCAACTGCATACTTATTTCACGATCACAGTCATGTGTCCTTTGTGGGTGGTTTTCGGTGTTTTATTTATGTATTTATTTATTGGCCCGGCCCTCCGCTGTGAAGCCTGGGCACTTCCCCTTACGTTTGGATGGTGATGACTTTTTCATTTTCTCATTTTGAGCATGAACACTATAAAAAGCTCTCTGAGGATGTAGTCAGAGCAACTGAAGAATGTTCCTAATCCTTCACATTGGTGGAATTTAGTGTTTTTATTTAAAGGCCCCTTAGAGTGTGTCCCTCTCCTGGCACCAAATGTAGCAAATATTTTCAGAGGGTTTACAGACCCTTGAAGCCATCTGAGACTTAACAGTGTGGCCAGTGATCAGAAAGAGTTACTGGTGGCTGACGGCTGGCATGAAGCCGTCAGGTGTGGCACCTACAGAAATACACGCGTGTTTTTCCACCACTTGAAAGGGGTGGGTGAGGGACAGTTCACGAGGAGAAGTGGCGAGAACTGAGAGTGAACGGGCGTGCTCTCATAGTGCCCTTCGTATGCTACTGAATGTCAGCAGCCTCATGACAGTTTAGATTTTAAAATACGAGCTTATGTATTTTTTATATAATTCTTAAAGCCTGTGTTTTTTAGATTTGGAAAAATTGAAGTTGAGAATCACAATATACAGTAAGACTGTCAGGCCAGTGCAATTGTGATACATTAGATGCACCCTAAAAACGCATCTGATGTGCAGAGAACTGTGTGAGCTCCGCGGTGTCGTCGGCGCTCAGGTGGGTGACACCTCACTGTACTCGATCATCTTACGCAGCAGATGCCTGTCAGATAAACGGATCGCCTGTCTTCACAGTCATTTAGACAGATAACGAGGTTCGTCATTCAAGTCTGTCTTTTCCTTTTTCTAAATAATTGCTTTACTGACCAAGAAACTTTAACGTTTGTAGGAAATAAATTTCGGTGCCATCAGTTATGTGTGTTTTGAGGGCCAAGGAAGGGAAGAAGTTATGGTCTGTGGTAGGAAAATGGACATTTTTTATTCCTTGGACTGGTTGGTTCAGTCCTTCTAAGATCTGTTTTTCTCTTGGGTTATTTCTCCAGATCAACATCCCCGTTATTATCCTTCCAAATCCAGGGTTTGGAAAATCAACACTTAGGGTTTGCCAGAGCTACTTACATCTGATTTCTCCACGCCTGTTGGTTCCCCTAAGCAGGCTCATAGCCGTGGGCCTGCACCGGCGACGGCCTGTCACGCCACTCTGGCGCCTGCGTGCGTCCCTTTGCCAAAGAGACAGACGGATTAACTTTCCTTTTCTGTAGTGCTTTTGCCAGTGAACACAGCCTGTCTTCTCGGTAAGTCTCTGCTGCTGTTCTTGGTGCGAACTTGGTGTCCCTCGTGTCGTCTTCTCACCAAAGAGTGCAAATCGCGGGGAAGTCCCTGCATTTCCCAGAAGGGAACACTTCTCCAGTGTTCTGTGCTCCGAGAGCTACCAGCCCGCTTCCTTCCCCCTGGGAGAAGATAACAGTCCTAGAACCTTAGCATCAGCGCGCATTGCCTGTGACGGATGAGGTGTCTCCAGGCGGGTTGGGGACTGGAGCCCGGCGATCTTTGCCCTTTTCCGGCGCGTTCCGCATGCAGAGCGGGGCGGGGTCAGCGCGCTGCTGCCGGTTCCGGCCCGTCCCCGCCGCGCACGCGCGTCCTCCTCGGTTCCAGCCACGCTTGCAGCGGCCCCGTCTGCACAGACCGTGTCTTTCCGCCTGTTGGACACTCTGCAGCACGAAGCGGGCGGCAGCTCTGCGAAAAGCGGCCGTCATTTTCCCCGCCGCCCCCGAGCACCCGCGTGGGAGCCAGCGCCCCGGCGGCGTCTCAGACTGGCCCGGCCCGTCCCGGCCCGTCGCCGCTTTCCGTGGGCGGCGCAGCGTTCGGCCGGTACCTGGTGCCGCCTCACCCAGGCTGGGGACCCGCTCCTCAGCCGGCAGCCGCCCTTGTGGCGCGTGCGGGCACCGCCCCGAGACACTCACCCTTGTGGAGGAGGAGACTTTCCGGAGCGCAGACTTTAAGCCGCGTTCCGGAAACGGGGCGATCCGGGGCCGCGCGTGCTCGGCTCGAGCGACCCTGTCCCAGAGCCGGCAGGGACCTCAGCTGTGTCCCAGCTTGAACCTGCGTTTCTGCGCCGGCCGAGGGGAAGCCTCTGCGACCGTTCCAGGCAGAGGTGACGGAGTTCCAAGTGCGCAGCGTACAGAAAGGATGCTAACCCAAGCCCGGCCGCAGGCTCGGTCTCTACGGTTAAGTCAGCAGAAGAGGGTGTTTGCTTTGTTGAGTCGAATGGCTTCCTTTCCACCCGCTTTTCCGCTCCCGAGTTGCCGCTACCGACGTAAAGCGCATTGTGCCCGTGAGCGCCAACGCGGCCCTCAACGCCAGCGCCGAAGCTGCTGCTCCTTCCCGTCGCCTGTTCTCTCGCTCTCCAGCTGGCGCCACCGGAGTCGTGACCGGTCTGTGAGGAGTGACGGGCGTGCGGTTTACAGGGTCTGCCACGGTTTTTCTAGTCACAACTGGCCTGTCCTAAGGAAAATGAAAATACACAGACGTCGCCTCCCATTCCACCTCTGACTTCGGCGTTTTCTTTGAGAAGTAGCTTTGCGGGTGGTTTATGCTTAGATTTGCCGAGGGGACCTGTATGTGTCATTAACTGCCCGCAAATACCTTCCATTTTTAAAAGTGTGCTTTCTCCTAGCTGTCAAAACTACCAAGAAAAAATGTGTTTTCCTAACTACCTCATATGCAAGTTAACGTTCCTCTGGGTGTTTCAGCAAATTTTAATTTTTCCCAAGGATAAGTTTCCCACCTTCTCGCAATGCCTACTAGACCAGCTGTGTGGCCTGAAATCCGAAATTCAAGAGACTTCACTGGGCCCTTTGGTGACAGGGTGCCCTGGGCACCCTTAGGTGTCTGATTGACAAGGGCATTGCTAGTACCAGTGGTTGGGTTTTGTTTTAACCCCATAGTTTCCAGCTGATTCTTCTCTCCGCCACCGCTGGCTGTCCCTCAGGCGCTACCACTGCGCTGTGGAACAGAGGTTTGTGGGCTGCGCAGGGCCCTGTCTCGGCCCGGCAAGCTGCTCCAGGGTTCTGCGACTGGCAGCGCGTGGGGTTTCCTGTTGCATTTCAGTTGCGAGTTTAGAATGTGCCTGCTGACTGCACAGATTGTCGCCTCATTTGGTCCCTCGCGATGCATTTTCTCCACCTTCTGCAATGAGTGATTACGTTCCTGAGGAACCAATTTATTTTTTCCACCCAGAGTATTCATAATTTCTTTGCATTGGCTGATTGGAAGTTCAGAACCCAGTTTGCAGGTCGCGTCTAGCTCACTGTAGAACCATGTTGTCTAGCAGAAATCAGGTGCGAGCTGAGTGTATGTAATTTTAAATTTTCTAGTATCCACATTAAAAACTATAAAAGGATAAAAATGGAAAAGAAAACTAGTAAAAAATAATTTTAATAACTTTAATCCAGTATATCTAAAATATTAGCTTCTACAGAAGGATGGGCTACGAAACAATTTTACAGTGCCAACATTTAATCAATCCAAGACTATGTGCATCTATTATACGTGAATAGAAAACAATCAATGGGCCGGGCGCGGTGGCTCACGCCTGTAATCCTAGCTCTCTGGGAGGCCGAGGTGGGAGGATTGTTTGAGCTCAGGAGTTCGAAACCAGCCTGAGCAAGAGCGAGACCCCGTCTCTACTAAAAATGGAAAGAAATTAATTGGACAACTAAAAATATATAGAAAAAATTAGCCGGGCATGGTGGCGCATGCCTGTAGTCCCAGCTACTCGGGAGGCTGAGGCAGGAGGAGGGTAACAAACACGTTCGTTAGTAACACACACAAGCAGGGCAGACCTTGAGACTCTGTCTCAAAAAAAAAATAAAAAATAAAAAAAATAAAGAAATTAGAAAGGGACGTTTTTTCTATTTCCCATTCTGTTGTAGGGGCCAGGCTCCTTATTGGTGTCTGGGCAGACCTTGAGCCTACACATGTTAATTTATTCACTTAGCTTGGAGAAATTCAGGAGCAGGGGAAGACACAGTGGTGAACACTGGGGCCTCTCACAGTTAACTCGAAGAATTTTTTTTAAACAGCTTAAGAGAGGATTTCAGGCTTCTTAGGGATTGTCCTAAATTGACTGGTGGTGTCCCAGATTCCTGACTCGGCGACCTGACACTGAGGGAGTTTTGTTCTAAACGCACAGGAGAATTAATTGAAGGACTCCCACCTGCCACTCACCTGCCACTTGCCAGACAGTGTGTGGGCTCCTCCTTCCCGAACCCGGACCCGTGGGAAGGAAGCTGCCGTGAAGTCTGTGGGTGGGACTTCTTGTTAAGGCGTGTTGACAAGCCAGGCACGAGAACGGGAAAGAGACACTTGCCATGAAGACTTCTTCTTTTAACGATTAAATGTATTCATTTGCACCTTACTTGGTATAAATGGATGCTTCTGAAGTCCTTAAATTCTGTAGTTGCAAATTCCCTTCCTCTCACTAAAACCATATTTGCAGTCTTTCATTTTTAATCAATTTTTTGGAAAAATAAAACCATGTATATAGAGAGACAATATGGAGAGGGTGGAAAACAGGGTGGGAGGATTGCTTGAAGCCAGGAGTTCGCGACCAGCCTGAGCAGCCTAGTGAGACCCCATCTCTACAAAAAAATTTAAAAAATCAGCTGGGCATGGTGGCGCATGCCTGTAGTCCCAGCTACTCGGGAGGCTGAGGCAGGAGTTTGAGGTTGCTGTGAGCTGGGCTGACGCCATGGCACTCTAGCCCGGGTGATGGAGCGAGACTCTGTCTCGAATAAATAAATAAATAATAAAAAGAAAGAAAATTAAATCAATGGAGGGAGAACAAGTGTTAGCCAGAATCCCAGAGCAACTATTTTTTTTCTTGCTGCTATGTATCTTTGTAGTCCTTTCTGTAGGATATACAGAGGAGTTTGTAGCCTCTCTCTTTTTCAACACTGTACTTATGTTTCACTGCAAGTCAAGCTTCAAGCAGTTCACTCTGAATTTTATCCAAACAGTAAATGAATGGATGTAAGTGGATGGTTCTTTTGAAAGAAGTAGGAACCTCATGAAAATCGTCTGTGTTACTTGGTGTGAATGTGCGTGTTTTACTGACTTTTATATTTAGAGAAACATCGATGATATGCTGAAGTCTACTTAGTCATCTTGTTGTCAGCTATTACTTTAAACATCTCCCTTTCCTGGGTGTGAGGAATAGTCTGTCTTCAGGCAGAAATTGTCTCAGTTGAAATCACATCAAATCTGGACTGTCTGTCCCTTCCCCGCCCCCGCCGCCACGTCACACGCTCACGTAGTCAAGTCCCCTGTTTGCCTTTTCTGTATTTTCTTTCCTTTCTCGTCTGTGCAATTATGTCTGTAACAGTTTGCTTTGTTTGCTGTATCATAATGACAGGGTGAAGCAGAAAGAGACTATGATAACAAAAAAGTCAGACTGGAAAAAGAAACCAAATCACAGTCGTCTTCATCCTCCTCCTCCTCCCACAAAGAATCGTCTAAAACGAAGTGAGTATGGAGATCAGGAAAGCCCAACCTCAAAGGCGATCGGGTCGTCTGGGGTACGGACGTGACAAAAAAGTTCTGCTTCTGCAGTAGAGTCGGCGCGTCCGTAAACCTTTAGGGCTCATTCTGTCACGTGCTGAGTTCGCGTTGCTTTCACGCACAAGGACCTTTCCTTTGGCAGCAAACTTAGATTTGTCAGAAGCATTTTTACTACGGACAATTTCCTAAACATACGGAATTATATTTTTTCTAAAGGAAGAAATAAGAAAGGTGCTATTATCCCTACTTTGCAGAACTGGAAACGGAGACACAGAGATAAAATGATTTGGCTATAAAGTCAAAGGGCTCTTCCTGGGTGGTAGAGCCAGCGTTCGGGCCCGGGAGCCTGGGTTCCACATTCTTTTTTTAGAGACGAGTGAGAATCTGCAGGACCCCTCGGTGCCTGTTGCCGGGGAGAGGGGTGACAGGTGAGAGGTGGCAGTGCCAGGACAGCGTGAATATAAAAAGCAATTATTATTTCATCTCTGATTTATTCAAGAAAGTGCTTCGCAAAATGACAAAAACAAGCGCGTCGTGTCCCCACACGGAGCCCGCAGAGATGGGGTGGGGTCGGGGTGGAGCGCGCAGCGCAGCTCGGTGCGGACGGGGAGCCGCCGGCCGGGAGTCGGGGCCCGTTAGGGAAGTTCGGACCGTCAGCAGACCCTGCAAGCTCAGCGAAAAATTATCCGACTCCGTTTATTGCTAACGGACAGGGCTAGCTTTTTCAAAGGCATCAGAAAGTCCCTGAAATTCAACCTGTCTACACCATGATCTCATGCACAGTCTTTTGTGCCAGTGGCCAGTTAGTTTGTCCTTTGTAACCAAACAGCTAAGCCCTGTGACTTGTGTTCTGCCTCAGCTGAGCTTTGTATGATGTTTCCCTCCAGGACGCCCCGGCCCTCCTCAGAGCCCTCAAAGAAGGAAATGCTCCCGCCCCCACCTGTGTCGTCGTCCTCCTCCTCCTCCCAGAAGCCAGCCAAGCCTGCACATAAGAGGTCAAGGCGGGAAGCAGATGCCTGTGGCCAGGACCCTCCCAAAAGTGCCAGTAGTAGCAAGAGCAGCCATAAAGACTCTTCCGCTCCCAAGCACAGAAGAGTCGAGGGGAAGGGCTCTGGAAGCTCCGCAGAACCCAGAGTAAGTGGGGGCGGCCGCTACGTAAAACGGGGCATGTTTGGTGTTTCTCTACTTTAAGTCCCCAGGTAAGATACGTTCCTCATGATGGTACCTGAGCACTATTCGTTACTTTTAATAACGCAATAATGAATCGTTTGTGTGTAAAATTCTACTTTCTGGAGAAAGGTAGTTAATATTATACAAAAATTTAGTTGTCAATTTATTGTTAAAGGATTCAGAGGTGAAAAATCAGAATAGATTTTTGTACTAATTTTCTACTGGGTGGTTTGCAGTAAGACATTTATTTAACCTGGTTCTCAGTTCAAATGTTTGCTGTCAAATACTTGCATCACTGGTTATAACGGGGGAAAAATATCTGCTTTTTCAAGTGTCCCTCTCTTCCTGTTAATCTGGCGGAGGGGGTGTGTGTGTGTTGTCTAAGAAAAAACGTTATGTTTGGCTTTGTGCGTTATCTGCTTTCTCGGACATTCTTGTCTTAACATCTTTTTGAGTCTCCAGTACAATTAGAACCTACCACTTCGACTGAGTCTGAGCTAGGAAAGTGCTTGACCGGCCAAAGCGTGCACTGCTTAAGTTGTTTTGGACTAAGTAAGAGGGATGGTACTTTTAGGACAAAATGCTGCAGTAGGTTGGTGCAAAAGTAATTGCGGTTTTTAGCGTTGCTGACATTTGATATCGGAATACAGTCTTAAATGTGGTTATACACCATTGTAATGCCTTTTTTATTTGTTTGTTAATGACTTATTACTTGCTGTTTATCTGATGTTTATTTTGGACTATGGAAATGTTGTTAGACAAAAAGCAAATTTGAGGGATTTTCTTATTTGAGTTCAAAATGGGTCGTAAAGCAGCAGAGACAACTCACAACGTCAGCAATGTGTTTGGCCCAGGAGCTGCTAACAAACATACAGTGCAGTGGTGGTTCAAGAAGTTTTGCCAAGGAGACGAGCGCCTTGGAGATGAGGAGCACAGTGGCTGGCCATCGGAAGCTGACAATGACCAATTGAGAGAAATCATCGAAGCCGATCCTCCTACAGCTACACAACAAGTTGCCGAAGAACTCAAGGTCCACCATTGTGAGGTCGGTCAGTGTCGGAAGCAAATTGGAAAGGTGAAAAAGCTCGATAAGTGGGTGCCTTGTGAGCGGACTGAAAATCAAAAAAATCATCGTTTTGAGGTGTCTTCTCTTCTTATACGCAACAACAGCAAACCGTTTCTTGATCAGATTGTGACGTGCGACGAAAAGTGGATTTTATACGACAACCAGCCACAACCAGTTCAGTGGTTGGACCGAGAAGACGCTCCAAAGTACTTCCCAAAGCCAAACTTGCACCAAAAAAGGTCATGGTCACCGTTGGGTGGTCTGATGCACTCCAGCTTTCTGAATCCCGGTGAAAACATCACATCTGAGAAGCCTGCTCAGCAAATCGATGAGACGCACCGAAAACTGCAACTCCTGCAGCCGGCGTTGGTCACCAGAAAGGGCCCGATTCTTCACCACGACAACGCCCGACCGCACGTCGCACAACCAACGCTTCAAAAGCTGAACGAATTGGACTGCGAAGTTTTGCCTCAGCCGCCACATTCACCTGACCTCTGGCCAACCGACCGCCACTTCCTCAAGCATCTCGACAACTTTTTGCAGGGAAAACGCTTCCACAACCAGCAGGATGCAGAAAATGCTTTCCAAGAGTTCGTGGAATCCAAAAGCATGGATTTTTATCCTACAGGAATAAACAAACTTATTTCTTCTTGGTAAAAATGTGTTGGTTGCAGTGGTTCCTATTCTGATTGATAAAGATGGGTCTGAGCCTAGTTATAATGATGTGAATTCACAGTCCAAAACCGCAATTACTTTTGCACCAACCTAATATAATCCGTGTGTTGATTTTTGTTTTCAAGGGATCTTCCAGAGACGCTGCAAACCCTTTTCCAGTGCCTTCGTTGCCAAACGGTAACTCCAAACCAGGGAAGCCTCAAGTGAAGTCTGACAAGTAAGCCTTCTTCCCCACCGCCTCCTCCCTTCCTCTCTTCCTTCTCTGCTCACCCTCCTCCTCTCCCTCCTCCTCCTCTCCCTCCTCCTCCCTCTCCCGCTCTCTTGGTCTTCTTGCCCCCGGTCTAGTGAGTCTCAGTGCACATAACCCACCCCTGGTTTTTCCTGTTCTTTTTCAGGCAACAAGCAGATTTTCACATGAGGGAGGCAAAAAAGTTGAAGCAGAAAGCGGAGTCAATGGTCAGTCTTGGTTCTTTATCCCACTGGTAGAGCGTCTTCTGATTTAGAAAAAAAAATCTGTAGTGTCCATTCTGCCGCATTGCCTGTCACTGCACGTGGCGGGGGGTGCCGGAGTGGGGCTGCCCTAGGCCGAGGCACACGTGACACGGGACAGGCAGGACCCCAGGGACGAGGGCAGAGGGTTCTTGGTGCAGTTACTGTCTTCGGCCCCGTTGATTCAGTCTGATCATGGGCAGACGTACAAAGCACCTGTCACAGTTCATGTGTCAGCGCATGACAGCCGATCCACCCGGCGGTGACTGAACACACGAGTGCCTTTTTCTCCCACTGAATCGATTGTTCGGATGTGAAAATGAGTCCTGCTCTGGAAAGTCAATTTGCGTTCACTCTGAAACATCTCACAGGGCCGGGGATCCTGTGTGCATTCCAGATTTATCTTAGAGCCCTTGAGAGAATGAGCCGAAGGGGTTAGCTGAGCAAAGCTTTTAGGCGAAATGTTGAGATGAAGGCCGCGATTGTACTGTTGGTAAACACGCCTCGACGGCATGAACTTTCTTTGCTCTGGTGGCCTTTGGACTTTCTGGAAGGTGGTGGTTTGTTGTTAATTGTATACATAATTAAATATACTCTTGCATCTCTGCTGCAATATAATGAGATGTTTGCCCTTCATCGCAATTAAACATCTAAGACTCTGAGGCTTTTATTTATTTTAGTGTGTTCCCAAACCTAAACCCCTGTAAAAGCAAAACCTTCCATGGAAAGCCATTCGTTGAACTTTGCACCACAGGAGAAGAGTATGAGTTGCTTTTATTGCTCCGCATGCAAACCTCACTGCGCATTTCAGAGGCCCTCGGGGGCCCGAATCAGGCGGCTCCACGGTGGCCACGCCATCTTGGCCGGGTGCTTTTCAACCCCAGTCTGCAGACAGGCATCTGCTCTCAGGCAGGCTGGGAGGGGGGCTGAGACCCTGTCATCAGGCAAGATGTTTATTGGTCCTTCCACACTGGCTGTTGCAGGGGGGCCACAAACAAGCCCCTCCAGCCCTTGTCTAGTGCTGCCCACACCAGGGCGACCTGCGTCCGATTAAGACTCTGAGACTGGGCCAGGCAGCAGCGCTGTTTGAGCCGCTTCCTTCCCGCCTTCCGAGGTTATTGCTGGAACTGTATGAACCTTTCGAATTTTGGAAAAAAGTAAACATTTAGCACTGTCAGCCCGTTATCTAAAATTTGTCTTGATATTGGATGCTTTCAGCGCTAGATTCCCCAATGATTCACACAAGCGAGATTAATATTCCACGAAACTTTGTGTTTTTGAGACAGGGTCTTGCTCTGTCTCCCAGGCCGGAGTGCGGTGGTGTCGGTCACAGCTCACTGCAATCTCGCGCTCCCGGCCTCAAGCAAGACTCCCACTGTGGCCTCCCGAGAGTGCTGGGATTACAGGCGTGAGCCCCCACACCAGGCCAGAACTGTTTTTCATCTGTACATACGCATTTCTTCTTCCTCCCTACCCACGGCGGTCACGCATCCCAGTGTGCTAGGACAGTCCTGCTTTGTGCCTGTTGCATGCCGTTTTAATAAATAAATATGTTCCATTTCACTCTCAAAATATGAGAGTTTGGACAATAAACCAGTGTTGGCCACGCTCTCCATGGTATCGGATCGCACGGTGCGTCAAAGACACGTATCTGGCATTCCCGATAATAACTGCACAGCTGCGGATGGAGGAGCGCATTTTTTTTTTTTTTTTTTTTTTGAGACAGAGTCTCACTCTGTTGCCCAGGTTAGAGTGCTGTGGCGTCAGCCTAGCTCACAGCAACCTCGAACTCCTGGGCTCAAGCGATCCTCCTGCCTCAGCCTCCCGAGTAGCTGGGACTACAGGCATGTGCCACCATGCCCGGCTAATTTTTTCTATATATTTATAGTTGTCTGATTAATTTCTTTCTATTTTTAGTAGAGACGGGGTCTCGCTCTTGCTCAGGCTGGTCTCGAACTCCTGAGCTCAAACAATCCGCCCGCCTCGGCCTCCCAGAGAGCTGGGATTACAGGCGTGAGCCACCGCGCCCGGCCAAGGAGGAGCACGTTTTATCTCTCCGTTATGCTCAGTGTGGGAGGGAAACCAGGACGCTGTGGCTTTAACGCTGTTCCGGGGGACACGTGGACGGCTGTGTCTGGAGCGTCGTCATTAACCTTACAAAATAGTTAAGGAAGCAGATATTGGCGAATCGCCACACTGTACTGTAGTTTCTTTTGTTTCTGCCCTAAGACCAATGTTAATTTTGGAAATTCCGTGGAGGCGATGGTGTTGAATAAGCAAATTTGGAGAATTAGATTCCCGTCAGTGAAGCAAACCAGTCATGCCCTGTGCTTCTGATTAACTGGAGCATGCTAATTGGACTTTTATTCTTTCTGTCACTAATCTTCGGAGCCTGGGTTGCCTAGAAAAAAAATTTTTAAATTAAGTTTTTTAAAATTCAATTTTAGGGTAAGATTCAATATTCTGAAATATATGTATACATATACACATACGTGTGTGCGGACGTGTGTGTAGCGACCCAGTTTGTTCCACTGCTGGTAGGACGCGGGGCCAATCCTATCGTCAGCCCGCCGAGGGGACGAGCTCTTCCTCTCCTGGCGTGGGTGCGGCGGCGCGCCGGGGCGGATTAGGTGGCAGCCCACGGCCATCTCTTTGCTGATACGTCACCATCTCCTTATACTCCCGCGTCTTTACTGTTAACGTTTTCATTCTGTTTTTGAACATACCACATGGAAAGCGTTAGCAGAAACACAAACCTGCGAGCGCCGTGTTAATCGGCGGCTCCCTCAATGTGTGGTTCGTATGCCGCGTGTAGAGAAAAAGTGAGTCGCATCAATCAGTTGAATTTGCCACATGCCACTAGTGAGAAGAGTGACAAAAATGCGTATTCAGGTTTAGGGTGAACACCAATGCCTGCTTTTATTAATATTTCCATATCCCTTTAAAGGACTCCGAAATTTCATCCTTGGCCCAGGGGATAGTCTTGTACACAAAAGCCAGAGGCCAAAGGAGATTTGATAATCCAGTGGGCTCTAAAAAGCATAAAACGATTATTGTTAGTTATTGCATCTCAGGTGCTCTTAAGCCATGATATATGTTTTCTACTCTTAAGTAAACTTAAATCTGTCTGTGTTACTCTAGGAATGTGGAAAGTGTTTCTCCGCGAAGTCACATATTGAATAGTCGCGCACTAGCGATGACGAGGGAACTCGTTGCCTTAGGCGGGCGTGTGCTTTCTTAAAGCTTTGAGGGAGTCTTACTACAGAGTGCTTTTCTTTTTCCTGATGAACTTTTGCTAAAAGAAACTTCTCAGTGGGTCGGAGCCGACGGGCTCTGGTTATCGTTTTTAGTCGGCTGGTTCTCACACGTCTCTAGCCGTAATCTAAGACGGCGGAGGGAGGTTACACTGAAGAATGTGGGTGAGAAACTCGGTGAAAGTCTGTCTTGGGCCTAACAGTGACCACGCTCTTCTGCCACAGACCGACAAGGTGGGAAAGGCTTTTAAGTACTTGGAAGCCGTCTTGTCCTTCATCGAGTGCGGGATCGCCATGGAGTCCGAAAGCCCCGCGTCCAAGTCGGCTTACTCCGTGTACGCGGACACCGTGGATCTCATTAAGTAAGTGCCCGGGCGTTTTGCTGTCCCCTTCTAAGTACTGTCCCTCACCTTTAGCTCTAGTGCATTCGAACCTCAGCGTGAAGACAGGTCAGGAAAGCGGAGCCTTGAGAAAGTGACTAGTCTGAGAACGGGGTTTTGCCCTAGACTAACACCGGGTTCTAGAAGAAGTGCTGGCGCAGGGTGACTGGGTCCAGCCGCGTCGCTTTGCCAGGCGCGCTGAGCACAGCCAGGCCTTGCAGGGAGAGGTTGGTTCCTCCGGGGTGGCTCTTATCAGATGCCCTCCCCTCTCGGTTTATCAACGGGGGCTCAGTAAGAGCAAAACTACTTGGTTTCAAGAGGTAGACGAGCCGCAGAAGAGACTTGTGCTCGCCTGGGTTTCCGAGTGGCCCAGATGCGGCTCTGAAGCCCAGCTTTTCTCCGCGTTGCTCTCGAGTCTTCACGGCTTCAGGAAAAATCCATATAGGACGCACACAAGCGTGATGAGATGTATTTGTGTTGGGGATTTTCCAGCTGCCTTTGTTTAACCTAACGCACTTCTGTGTTTTCCTGTAGATTCATAATGTCATTAAAATCCTTCTCCGACGCCACATCAACACAAGAGAAAATATTTGCTGTTTTATGGTGTGTACTTTTTTCTTTGTCTAAATAGTCAATTTGGTTTTCATCTTTTGATATCACAAAAAAGATTTTGCCTTTGTTCTCTTAACATGAAAATTATGATGAAAGGCAGCTCGACGCGTTGGTCGATGGGTAATACCGCTGATGTTAATTATTATGAAGTGACATCTGCCATTGTACTGGTGACTCGGTAGATGCTTTGGTCTTGTGATTTAAATTATATCCTTGCATATTTGTGTTTTACCAGCAATATTCGCTTTTGGTGCTAGTATGAACAGTGCAGTAAGATTCTTGATATACTTAAATGTAGATGAGAACTCGGTGTGTTCATCAGGCCGTAAAAGTCTAGACGGCTGTGCTTTTCTAGTAGTGGTGGTCACGTCCACAGGGTGATGCACACTTTTTAACTTCTGCTGTTGTTCGTAGCATGCGTTGCCAGTCCATTTTGAATATGGCGATGTTTCGTTGTAAAAAAGACGTAGCAATAAAGTATTCTCGTACTCTCAACGAACACTTCGTGAGTTCTTCCAGAGTTGCCCAGGCACCTTCTCCGTGCATCGCAAGGTAATTCTAAATCTAATTCAAATAATTTCCCAAACCGAGTCATTTCTTTATTTGCCTCTTGCCACTGTATGTGTGTGTTTGTGTGTGTGCCTGTCTCTGTCTTTGGCTTTTCAGAAATTATTGGCTTCATTTGTGTGCTGATTGCTCCTTAAACTTAAATCATTAGCATATTTCTGCCCTTTTGAGAAACAGTTATAAATCAAGGTTTTTGCTGGGCAGGTAACATAAAAAGGTAATTGCAGACAATATGGAGTTTGAGGATCTTTAGCTAGAGGCCTGAGAACACACAACAAGAGGCAGAGCCGAGTCCTTTCTCCCGTATGTGTATAACACCGTCTTGGCATTTCAGTGAACAAGAACTTTCCAGAGCCATATGCCCTCCACCTTCTCCAGGATCCATACCAGTGATACTAAGAATGCAAACAATGATCTCTAGCAAAATCCCTTAGCCCACTTTGTGAACTGAAACTGTTCACCTGTGCTGTAAGGTGCTGAGAAACAGAATCCCTGTGCAGGTGTTTTTAAAATGAAGATGACGTTTTCTTCCCTGTGCTCCTTCCCTCGCATCTTTTCAATTCGGTTAGACTCCTTGTGAAGTTTCTAGTCTGATAGGTTTTGCTATTTTAAGAATATCACTCACATGACTGCCCCATTTCCAGCACATTCAAAAGAAGGGACTCTCCCATACGGCCTCTCTTAAAGAAGAAAGTTCCAATGGAGAAGCAACTTCTTACCTCTGACCACTTCCCCCACTCCCGCTCTGAGATATCATTCCAAGCTAATAAGCTGTCGGTCACATTAATGTCTCTGTGGCTGCGCTTGTCTGTCTTGTTTGATGCACGTGGAGGCGTATGTTCGATCGTTACGTCCACATACTGAGCCAGGAGCGGAGTAAAGATGAAATGCCAGATCCTTCCCTGCCCGGGCTCCTCCGAGGCTGTCCCCCCGTGGTTCACTCGTTGGTCCGGTGCGCATTCTTCAAGAGCCTGCTCTTGGCACCCGCTGTGCGACACGCTAGTAATGCAGACACTAATAAGACATGATCTCTGCTTTCATGGTGCCGTGACCTAGGAAAAGGAATAGACAGAAATGTGCAAGAAGAAGATTCGAGTCACGGCAGAAAGGAAGCCGGGGTGTAAAGGAGAGCTGGGTGCAGAGCGGGTGCTCAGTGCGCGCTGGATGAAGGGATTGGGGGGCGGGGGACACGTGCACACGTGGTCTCACTAGGAACCGGGTGTGAAGAGAGAGGTCGCAGCGGAGAAAGCGACTGTGCGAATGGCGTGGGAAAGCACATTTGGATACGGATGAGCCCGCCGGGTGACTCCGACCTCGTGGGAGCGTTTAGCGGTGATCGTTGCTTTGAGGGGTTCATGCCGAGACTCTGTGGCTTGGGCTGCGGTGTCAGGGACAGCAGATCTGTGGTCTGGGGGTCTGTGTGACTGACCGGTTCTCTCTCCTCTTCCCCCGCTCAGAAGCACCGGCACACCCTCCCCTCGCTCCCCGATGCCTTCTCCTGCCAGCTCCGTCGGGTCCCAGTCGAGCGCTGGCAGTGTGGGGAGCAGCGGGATGGCTGCCACCGTCAGTACCCCAGTCACCATCCAGAACATGACATCCTCCTATGTCACCATCACGTCCCATGTCCTTACTGCCTTCGACCTTTGGGAACAGGCTGAGGTCCTTACCAGGAAGAATAAAGGTGAGTGGTTCCGTGGTGGTCATCTCGGGAGCACGGGGGTTGGCAGAGAATGATGTTGGTTTGTGTTTTATGTTCGGTTTCTTGAAGAAGAGGAATCATGCAGCTGTTTTTACTCTTCTTCTTTTCTCCATTCTGCCCCAACCTAATTGCAGTTCTCCCTGAGCTCTGTAGCACAGAGCTGGGGTCCTGTGGCTGAGATCTCAGCAAAACCGAATTAGAAGTGGCTTTAGTGCCTGCCTCTGTAGACGTCCTGGTGCTGCTATTTCAGCCTGAACTAAAATGCTAGCAAAAGGGCGCAGCAAACAGAAGGAAAGTCACTGGCTGTTCCTGGGCTCAACACATTTGAGATAGGAAGTAGCATAACCCAAATACTGTTTGTTTCCAGTGCGTGTTCGGAAAGCTGGCTGGCTGCGGTACGAGAGGGACAGCACGGTAAACGCCCCTGAGATTAGCTCGGAGAAGGTGGCCCTTGGAGAGGTGGTGCGTGCTGTTAGGGGACCTGCCTGGTGTCAGCGCCAGTGACCACGAAGGAAATGCTTCTACACGTGAATGCCAGATAGACCATCACATATATTTTTCTGGCTGTAGGGAAGACGGCAACCAGCTACCCATAGCCTCTTCGAGCTTTAGCTTTCTTAGCAAACCAATAATGCTTTTAATGTTTTTTCCCCCATTCATGCATCCATTGACCCAGAAGTATGAATTAGGTATTTTCCAAGTGTCAGCCACTGTGCTAAGCATATGGATTCAACTCTAAGGCAAACCTGGTTTGTTGTCCAGTGGAGGAATGTGGGGAATTAGCAAGAATCACAGTGGATGGTGACTTTTTGCTGTGATGAAGTGCAGAATCTCGTGGGGACGTAACTTCTGGAACGTTGATTTTTTTTGTTTCTGTTTTTTATGTGTGCATGTGTATTCATTTGGTTTTTGTTTGGTTTTGTTTGCAGAATTCTTCGCTCAGCTCAGCACAAACGCGTGCACCTTGGCCCTCAACAGCAGCTTGGCGGACCTGGTGCACTACACGAGACAGGGTTTTCAGCAGCTCAAATAAGTAACCAAAACACCTTCCTGGAGCCCCAAGTTGATTCAATGCTTTGGGAACTTTTTTTGCACATTGGAAGCCTCAAAAGCAGCAGGACGTTTGTCTCATCAGGATGCCAAACTCTAGGAGAGAAGCACCGTGAGATGGCCAGGACGTCTGTCCATTTAAACTCCCAAGAGAACTGTGTGATCATCGGTTGGACGCTATGGTTATGCAGACGCGGAGAGGAGGAGGCCGGCCCCAGAGATGATCTTGCCTTTCCCAACTAAAGGACAAAGTGCAATGTAGCCTAAATGGGCGTATGAATGGTCTAGAAACATTTCTCTCTCTCTTTTTTCTGGAATGCAAGTTGAAAATGAAACGAGGAGAAGCAATTTCAACTCTGAAAAGCAAATGCACGCCATCTCAGTAGCCACGCTAGTCCATTCCCAGAAGGAAATTTTTTTAAACAATGATTTTGGGTGAAGGGTTTAGGGTTTTGTGGATGATTTTTTTTCTTTCAAGTTTTGGGGGAAATGTTTGTTTAATAAATTCTAATGGCCACCTGTAAACTGTAAGTTGTGAAGGACTCCACTGTACCCCACTTTCTGCCGATGAACAGTGGCTTTGATGATACCAAGTATTGTTTTCATTTACAGAATTGGAGGCGACTCCCCACCCCCAATTGCCTGGAGCGCTGCGCATTCAGCCCGGCTCTGATTCCCGTCGCTGCTGGAAACCGAAGTCACCCGAGTTGGACTGGTGGGAAAAGGAGCCACCAGCGCGTGGGGAGCTGTCTGCTCTCCATGGGAGGACGTGCCCCTCCACCCTGCTGCAGTGAAAGGGACTTTGTGAGTTTCCTACTTTGGGGAAGAAGGGAACCGACGTTCATGCCTGACCAGGTGGCTAAAGTGCTTTTTAATTTTTAATCAGAGCTGGGATCTGAGGTGCTGATCTGTGGTCAACAGTCATTTGGTAACTCACGTTGTCCGACCAACTGAGAGTTTTGTCAGTGAACAAGAAACATGAAGTCTACTTCTTAGAGAGGCTATATTTTTCTGCTACAGATTATTTTATATTTATAGCAAAACTAGACTTTCAGAGTCCTTGATTGTGTGGGGGAAATGAACTCCCCGAGAGGATGTGGAGATTTGGGGTGGTTAATTAGACTTTAAAAAAGAAAAAAAGAATCCTCACCACATGCCTTCGCTCCCGAGTGTTCTCGGTCAGCTTGATCGATGAGGTTGAAGGAGAACCGCGGCCTTCCCTTAAGTTATTGCCCTGCTATAGACATTAAACCACGTCCATTTTCAGTGAGCTAAAATCAAAGAGCACATCAGAATTCCCATGTCCATAAGCACAGATTTTCTTTTTCATCGATACTTTGAAGGTTGTTATTGCAAACATTTTGAGTGCAGTGTTTTTAAAAGTCAGTTTTTTTAATCCCTTTTGGGAAGTAGCATTTGCACATGTATTAAAATGGAGGAGTAGCACCTCTGTAACAAACTGGTTTATTTTTCTCCCCCTTTGCCCCATTCTGTCCCCTACACGTCTCCTACCAAGCACGTTTCACATTTTCCTGTTTATTTACTAGTGAAGAAGGCAGAACCGTCTTCCTTACAATGATATGTCTACGGTGAGGGTGTCTATGGTGAATGCAGGAGCTTTCCTGGTGGTTGGGTGAATCTATGAAGAGAGACGGTGAATCTATAAAGCGCTGCGCGGTGTGAATGCTTTGTGTGAAGCTGTTCTCCAGTCTCTTGTCCAGCGCGTTCTTCTGTTACCACTCGCCAGGCCAGAGTCCATCAGCCCGTGTTTGGGTTGGAGCCAGAGAACGACAGCCACAGTAAGACCTGAGCGTAAGACCGCGGTGTGAGATTCTGAGGAACTGATCCCATTTACTGATACTCCAAAGCAAAGCCATCATCCTTTTTAAACTACTAGTTTGAAAAGCTGCTGAATGAACAGTGATTGTCTGGTAGGTCGTGTGCTTGTGGCATTGTGTGCCTGTCGCTTGTATGTCGGGGAGGGACAAGGCACTGGAACCATCCTTTGACATCTTTTTTCTCTACTGCCTTGGCTGCCCCCTCCCCCACACCCTTGCACTCCTTAAAACAAGCCACCTGTCCGCTGTGAAGGGTCATGTTCTCTGTGACAGGTGTTCACCTGCGCAGACTGTGCCAGGGTCTGTGTGTCCCCTTGACTCCAGACATTTCTGAGTAGATCTCTCCGCTGATTCTAAAAGAACAGATTGCTTTTTAAGTGGCTTTATTCTTTGTGGGTTTTTTAGCCCCCCTGAACTCTGTATTAAGGTTCTGTTTGTCCCTTGAAAAATGATTTTTTTCCCCCAGAGAGGGTCTTACTGTGTTGCCTGGACTAGAGTGCAGTGGTTTCATCACAGCTCACTGCAACCTCAAACTCCTGGGCTCAGGTGATCCTCCTGCCTCAGCCTCCCAAGTAGCTGGGACTACAGGTGCGCGCCACCATGCCCACCTAATTTTTCTCTTTTTTGTAGAGACGTGTCCAGTCTTGCTCAGGCTGGTCTTGAACTCCTGAGCTCAAGCACTCCTCCTGCCTTTGACTCCTAGAGTGCTAGGATGAGCCACTGTGCGCCTGGCCAAAAAAATTAACAAATTTTCATAGACCAATTGGTATTATTTTGGTCATTGGATATTTTTGATCCTTACTGCAGCACTCATTGTACCTAAAAGAATTCCTAATGGCTACCTTTTTAACAGAGTATGTGAAAGGTAGGGCTGATCAGTGCTTAATGTTCATAGGGTCTCTTCACTGTAGGAATCTAAAGGATTTTTTTAATCATTTGCACTTTTTCATTGCATGCTTACAATTTCCAAAGGCAGAATTTATACTGTGGTAGATCATTTGAAAGGACTAGATTATAAAATTAAACCTTTCAACACGTGAAGTTCTTAAATCAGTAATGGTACACGTTTCAGTGAGACAAATACAGAACATCTTAAAGAGTGAAAACAGTGTGAATCTTCAGCACTGCAGTTTGTGTGTGTCTTTAATAGGAAATGGAAGAACACTGTTTTACTTTCAAAAGTGCAGACTGTTTCTGTCCTTTCTGGAGATAATTAGAATGTTCATCAATGAACTTATGAGCCGTGATAAATAATGAAAAACACTTTACTGAAATTTATCAGATGACACTGGGTTGAGATGGTGGAAGCACAGCCACACGGTAGCGGCCGTGAAGAGCGGGGGAGCAGTTCTCAGGAATGGGGTTGCGGCTGGAGGATAATTTGATGATATGACTTGATCCTAATGCTGAATGGGAAAAGTGTCTGACATTTTTTAACGAAAGGACCTTTATTTTATAGATGTTGTGACCAAAGTATGTAGCTGTTGCCCCTAGACAAGAAGGAACACAGTTATCTCCCTTGTCCTGTGTCCTTTAATACCAGATCTCAGGATATTTAGAAAGCTAATAAACTCTACTTTATGGCTGCAAACTTGCCTTAATTGGTACCTTACATATTAATGTTAGTAGGATCAGGAGCCTACTGTTTTTTGATTCCTGTTCAGTAATTTTTAGAAGCAAAAAGAAAACCATTGTGTCCTGCACAAAACTGTTGTCTCTGACATACAAAGGCACGTGTATGTACATACATGTGTGCGGAGAGTAAGAGGCTGATCGAATTGGAGGTATTTGTGCCTTCGACCAAACTCAGTTTTGAAATCATGTTGTACTTGCTTTGCCGTGGTGTCGAGCGATGTTACGTGGCTCGTGCACCTTTTACTTCTGTGCTTTGTGAAGTTTGAGGTACATTTGTGCCTCTTTGGGTAAATAAGGTTTGAGGTTGGACTTTTGGGTTTTTTTAAAGTGTGCTTCCAAAAAATCTCCCTGCTTCCTACTACCGATTATACTTTTTTTTAATGATTTATTTTCCCAAACACTACCAAAAAAAATCTTTAAACAACTTTGCCACTTCATCTATTACACTTTGCCCCTGATAAGCAGTATTTAATCTTGCAAGAATATCTTGGGCTTCTTTCAGATGTTTCTCACTGGGCAGTGAGAGCTACGCATTGTGCTTGTGGGGCAATGCCAGGATCCACTGTGGTAGTACTTGGTTTTTTCCATTTTCTCTAGTAGGTTGCCCCTTTTTTGGTTGTTGTTCCATTTAGAATTAATGGGTGTAAGGTATTTTCCTGTGCCTTTTTTTTTGTTTTGTCGGGGGGCGGTGTAGTGGCAGAATAGCTTTGGGGATAGGGTTGGGGGCTTCGCTTCAGCCATCGCAAGTGGTGGTTCTACCGCGTAAACCTCAGACGTGCGACCCAGTTGTGTTGGTTTCTCAGAGACTGAGAATGCTCATCTCTTTGTAAATTGCGAGCACTGGCCATGTTCTTTAGTTCTTATTTATGATGAGTTGACAAACACCACCTGTCACTTCAGGTGGCTGTAAATTTCTTACTGTCTGGGGGAAATCACACTATGTCCTGTTCCGTTGTGCGTCAGATGTCCGAGGTTCTGTGATGGCACTTCTCCGCCTAAGAGGGCAGCAGGGAAACCCTGCGGCTCCTTGAGCAGGTGTGTTAATGTATCCACCCGGGCGGACAAGGGGGTGAGACCACTGACAGCCAGGCCGGCCACGCTGCGCTGGGGTCCAGGCAGCGGCTGCCCTAAGGAAGACAACTTGCTTTGCTTAGAAGTAGATGTTTCACTGATGCTTCACACAGGCAGTATTAACCTTGCCTTTCGTTCAGGCCGTCAGCGCGTGCTGCTAACACTGCTGCACGCCCCCTCGGGTACCAAGCCTACACTGTTCCTGGCGGGGTGCGGCGTGTGTGTGCGCGCGCGGACGCGTGTGCTCCGCATCTTGTTTTGATTTTTCTTTCCTGAATGTGATCACGTTTTGGATGATACCTGAGCAGGGTTGCCTTTTTTATTTATTACCATTATATATTATATTATATTATATATTTTTTGCTTTCTTATAACTTTAGGGGAAGTCAAATCTTGGTATTAATAAAATTGTTTAAAAAGGAAAATAAACTCTCCAGTTGATAAATGGAAATCACTGGTCTAGCTTTAAAATAATGAGTTTTCTTTGATCACTGTGGAATAAAGTGCCAGCTGTCGTCAGCACGATGAGTTTGTGCGCAGGATAGGGAAGCGGCGACGCTCTCGGAGGGAAGACGTGCAGCAACGAGGGGGCTCCGTGTGTTTTATCGACTTCAACGAAACTGCACCGTGGGGCTTTGTGGATAAACTTTAGCTGCCTTGTATAGTCCTTTAAAAGAGACATATGTGATCTGTGAGAGAATTATAGTTTTGTTAGAAGAAAAATTTGCAAAAGATCTTTCCAAAGACAATGTGCCACAGATCTTGTTTGTTATTCTCTGTAATGAGGATTAATTGCTGTTTAAAAAAATGTAATTGACTTGTTCATCTTCAAATTCTTTCCTTTTCACAAGAGGATCAAGCTGTAAAAAAAATAAATAAAAATTTAGAGAAATCTTTGGGGTTGAATCTGTGCTTTCGCTTTGCTTAAATAAAGCAATTCTTTAAAATTTCTGTATGAAATTGCCATCTGTAGCCAGGAGTTTCACGTAGAATAATGTGCTTTTATTCACGTGTATTTGATGCTGAAATGGGGAAAGAGATGTGGTCAGAAGGTAGCTCATCCTTTGGTTTATTTTCAGGATTGTAATCACTCACAGATTAGGCTGACGTCACCACTGTGGCTTCTTAGCCTAGTATCAACTGGAAGAAACAGCAGTGACCAAGTCTGCCTATCTGACACTCTGCGTCAGTGGTTTCATGGTATCAGAACGGACCTGGTATGCTGCAATCTGACTTCCCTGAATTGGAATCCCAGCTCTCCAGGTTGCTAATTATGTGACCCTTGGATAAGTTACTTAACCCCTCTCTGAGTCTCTTTTCATTTAGAAACTGCTGATATGGCATCTACCCAGTGAGACTGCAAGGATCGCGTTCGATGGTGATTGAGACTGGTTAGCACAGCGCCTGCCGTAAGGTGATCTCTCAGAAACTGGCTGTTTCATCCCGTCCCCTCACTGCTCCCCAATATCCGCACTGCCGACCCTCCAGGCTCTGCCTGGACACTGGTGGAGAACTCAGTTCTTCCTCACATCGGGTCAACCTCCACTTTTGCTAGTCCTGTTGAACAGGCATGGGCTCAACCTCCGAAAGCCTGTAGTAAAGTTGAAAAGTCGGTAACTGCTGTACAGGGCGTGCGATGGCAAGTGTGAGCAAAGGGAGTATTTTAGTTGTGATTGAAACTACGGAGAACTGAATCTAATTTGAACGAGGCTTTGAAAGATGGGTTTCTTCTGAGTATTTAATAACTTTACTCGCAAAAACTTTCTGTGGTGGGTGTCGTGTAACTGTGAATGTCGGTTGTAGTTGTCCAGGTATGGTGGTTACTGACTTATATAACCAACCACCTTGTTAGACATTGCGATTATTTCTAATCTGAGGATATTAATTAAGATGCTTCGATGACCGTCCCTGGAACAAAATGTTCGGGCAAACTCAAACTACTTCCTTGGGATGAATTCCAAGAAATGGATTGTAGGGTGAAAAGATACATTTTTCTGCTACTTTATTTCAAAAATTTTCAAACAAACTCAATAAAGCAGAACAGGTTGTTTACATATATAGCTACCACCTAGATTCAACAATTAACATCTTACCATGTTTTCTTAATGTCAATGTATAGGTGTGTACCTTCATGCTGACTACTAAGCTGCATACGTGTTTTAGCACGTGTCTCGGGATACTCCAGTGTAACCACAGTATCCATATAGCGTCTAAGATGATTTCTCAATGCCTTATATTCAGTCCATACTCAGCACCTGCCCTCAAACTGTCTTACAGCTTATTTTTTGAGCGTGGATTCAGTTGTTTCATGCATTACATGTCATCATGTCTCCTTAGTCTATTAATCGTGAACGGTCTCCCCCCAACCCCTGCTTTTCTTTGAATGGAGTGTCTCCCATCCTGGATTTGAATGTTTCCCCAAAGTGCCCATTAATCCGTTCCTCTCTCTCTTGTATTTTCTGTAAACTGGAAGTTGGGTCAAGAGGCTCGATTATGTTTGGCGAGAATCCTTCATGGTGATGCTATGTGCTGCTCATACTGGATCACATAGGGAGGTACCTAAAATGCTGCTTTTACTATTAGTGATGCTAAATTTGAGTCTCTAAGATATGATCACCAGAACCCTCCTTGGTAAATACGAGCTTTTTCCTGTTCCCACAACCTTCCACTTGCGTGGAAGATCACTGGGAGCTGGAGAGTGGGAAGAGTACATTTTATAGTATCTTGTCACACTGCCCAGAGAAAAGTTGTCTCGGACGTTCTCAGAGCATCCATTTTCCCACCTTTATCAATCCTGGGCATTATGTTTAGAAAACGAGAAGGGGGAAAAAACCACTGAATTTGACAGGTGGAAAATGGTGTCCCTGATGTTTACATTTTTTTCTTTTTTTTATTCCATGGTACTATTTTTCCTTCACACATTGAGCTGCCATTTGTGACCAGTACTCCAGACCCTGTTCAAATGCCCATCTTGGTAGATCTGGGGCAAGGTGTTTCACTGAAGTCATACGGAACAAGTTCACCACTAGGCCGGGTTCTGTTAATGGAGGAGCAGTTAAAAAGAGCAGTAAAAAAGATTATCCATCCAGGCTGAAAAATATGCATCTTTTTCCTTTTGATTTATATATTCAGGATATTAACTTTTTATGTTACAAATATTTCTGTCCAAATTATCTTTTCTGCTTTTCAGTTATTATGGTGGCCCTTTGACAACGTAAGTAGGTGGCCTTACCAATGTGCTTGCAGTTTCTGCTTTTGGTGTCTTGATGTAGGTAAAGGACATTTCCCAGACTGTACAGGCAGTTTCACCACCACTGAGACCAGCGACAACTCTGGGAGGTAAGCAGTGACCTATGTCCTCAGTCCTTTTATTAGCGAGTATTTAGGCACTTTTGGAGCCTGTGTTATTTGAACAGACATTTGTTCACCAGTCACTAAGGTGTTTGGGAATGTAAATTATCACAATCTGGGCTACTTTAAGTCACTTTAAGTACTTTTGGTGCTTAGAACCTTCAAATCTGTTCTGGACAACTTCGAAGCCTAATCAATGTGTCTTTACCAGAATATAATTGGAGGTTTATCTGCTGTTACTTTGCTTGTGATTAGATAGTTGTACTGTCTAGTCTGTTTTGTCTTAGGAACAGGACTCTTTCAGCATTTGTGGTTTCCTAGTAAACCGCACTCAGCTGAAAGCTAGGCTTAGTGAGACACCAGGGCTCTGATAATAACGGCCTTTGCCCTGCTGACAGACTGGAGGGAGGTCCTCGAACTACTTTCCAAACAGACTGTCCTATTTTAGCTTGAAAAGATCGTGTGCCTGCTGTAGGTAAGTGCCTTAAATCACCCTTCTCTATTACTGGGGCCCAGCCCTGGCATCTCACTCACCTTACTTCATGTGTAGGAGGAAGAACAATTATGGGTTTCCCTCTCTCCACTGCTAAATATTCCCAGAAATTATCCTCTAAAAAACACCCTCCCATCCCTGGCAAAAAAGCAAAAAGTGTGCACTTATTTTTCTACCTGTATTCACACTATTGGATTGGAAAACCAATTGTACTGAACTGAATGGACTACAGAAAACTGCCTTTAGCTGGCTGTTCACTTCCCCACTCTTCCATCTTTGAAGAAACTGCCTGTGCAAGTACGATTTGGTATTCAGGAGTGTAATCGAGAATGCAGAAGAATCTTAAGAGTGGTTTTACAGAGGTTCCCAAGCCTACATGTACATGAGACCTTTTTTTTTTTTTTTTAAGAAACAGGGTCTCGGCCAGGCACGCAGTGACTGAAGCCTGTAATCTTAGCGCTCTGGGAGGCCAAGGCAGGCGGATCACTTGAGTTCAGGAGTTTGAGACCAGCTTGAACAAGAGTGAGACCCTGTCTCTTCTAGAAAAAATTAGCCGGGTGTGGTAGCTCCAGCCTGTAGTCCCAGCTACCTGGGAGGCTGAGGCAGGAGGATCGCTTGAGCCCAGGAGTTGGAGGTTGCTGTGAGCTAGGCTGATGCCACGGCACTCTAGTCTAGGCAACAGAGCCAGACTCTGTCTCAAAAAAAAAAAAAAAAAAAAAAAAATCTCTCTGTTGCCCAGGCTGGAGTGTAGTGGCGTGATCGTAGCTCACTGTAACCTGGAATTCCTGGGCTCAAGCAATCCTCCTGCCTCAGCCTCTGGAGTACCTGGGACTATGAGTGCATGCCACCATGCCTGGCTAATTTTTTTATTTTTTGTAGAGGCGGAGTCTCCCTATGTTGCCCAGGCTGGTCTGGAACTCCTGGCTTCAAGTGATTCCCTGCCTCAGCCTCCCAAAGTACTGGGATTACAGGCATGAGCCACCACACCTGGCCACTTTGATAATTTTTCACAAAAATCTTATTTTTAAACTGATTTACAAATAGACTTAGTAAACCTATAGTCAGCCCTCCATATCCATGGGTTCTGCATCCGTGGACTCAACCAAGCGATATAGAAAATACTCAGGGCAGAATTCCATAAAGTTCCAAAAAGCAAAACTTGAACTTGGCACATGGTATGTTGAATCCATGGTAATGATGATCAGACACTGTATTAGGTATCAAAAGTAATCTAGAGATGATTTAGAGTATATGGGAGGGTGTGCGTAGCTTATATGCAAACACTATGCCATTTTATGTAAGGCATTTGAGTACACAGGTTTTGGTATCTTGGGGGTCCAGAAACCAGTCCCCCACCTATAGCCAGGGACAACTGTATACAAAGGCACGTGGAGCAAAAAGTGAAAAGGCAAGTCTATGGCATTCCTTCTTCTGTAGATTTGACAGCCATTAAGTTTGGTGCATGTTCTTCTAGAACTTTTATTGTGCAATCATTTTGGTGACAAAATATTGTGTAATAAGATATACTACCATTTATTTAAACATTCTCCCATTATGGACACAAGCCACTCCTCCCCCCAATATTCTGTCCCAAATGTACTCAAGGAATATTAGTACACAATGATGGCTTCATGCATTCTTACAAGTATTCTGTAAAATAACTTTCTGGAGGGGGATTTTTTTTCTTTTTTTGAGACAGAGTCTCACTTTGTTGCCCGGGCTAGAGTGAGTGCCGTGGCGTTAGCCTAGCTCACAGCAACCTCACACTCCCGGGCTCAAGCGATCCTCCTGCCTCAGCCTCCCGCGTAGCTGGGACTACAGGCATGAGCCACCATGCCCAGCTAATTTTTTCTATATATATATATATTTTTAGTTGTCCAGATCATTTCTTTCTATTTTTTAGTAGAGATGGGATCTCACTCTTGCTCAGGCTGGTCTCAAACTCCTGACCTTGAGTGATCCACCCGCCTCAGCCTCCCAGAGTGCTAGGCCTGGAGGGGGAATTTTTGATGTTACCAAACTACCTTTCCCACCAACTATAGATGTGCTTAAATTCTTGCTAGCTGTGGGTTCAATATAACAATCTTACACTAGAATTTGCATTTCACTGATGACAAATTGACCATTTTTGTCACAAATTTATTGGTCATTTGTTTCCAATTCCATAGAATGCCTATTCCTGTATTTGGCTCATTCCTTATGAAATTGTCTTTTCCCTACTGATTTGTAGATTAAGCAGCTTGGACTAAGCCCCCGGCTGTACCTCAGTAGCGACCACCTGTGAGCTGCTTTCAACAGTTCCCACCTCCTACCTCTGCCCACCCTGTAGGAAGCAGTGATCAACCCCGAAGTAACTGGAACTCTATGTTCATCATCTCAAGGTCTTTAGCATTTGAAACTCCGTTAAAACTTACTACTCGTCCAAGCAAATGACATTCCTTCTGGATAAAGTGGAAGCTGTTTAACACTGGCAGTTCTGGAACTTACCAGATGTAAATGAATTTCATCACGCGTTGCCTCTGTGGCCCAGAGAGAGCAAATCCAAAATTGCTCATGAAACGCCATAAGCTTCACATAACTATAGTACTAGTAACCTGGTGTTTGCTTATTTTGAATGAAAGTAGAAGAGTACCAGAAGACTTGGGTTTCTTGTCCTTGTGAGATTTACTAGCATCCTGTCAATAGTTTCAGCGATTCTTCTGTGTGAAGTGACATCGTTCAGTGTATGTGTAGGCGAAAACCATAGGTCAGGGTGCCCAGCTTCTGGGTGGCATGTCTCTTCCCCAGGTAACTTCAGATCTGGTGTTTTTCCATTCACAGAGCCATTGTGCCTGATTCCAGCCATTCCTCTCAGCATGGGCGTCACTATTCTAAAGGTGCGCCCTGTGGACACGCTGGATTATTCCAAGCTCGACAGCACAGCATAAGCCGTTTATCTGTAAGCGCTCCTCTGTGTCTATGTATTTGTCCTGAACTCCCCACAGCAAAACAGAGCCACCTGGCATTTTTCCCTTCACTTCCTACACCCACGATCCATTCCTATCCCTACAACACAACACTGACCTACAAAAGTAAATGTGCAGTGGAAAGAAACATGTGCTAAGCCATGACCTGTGGTTTCCATAGTTTGTATTTTTGAAACCAGCTTTCAAGTTAGTTATTGTCATGCTTTACAGATGATGAAATCTGAGCCCAAGTACAGTCATAAACTGGTGTCTGGGGGGGTTATTGGTTCCAGGGTCCCCAGATACTAAAATCCATGGGTGCTCAAGTAGTATTTACATATAACCTATGTACATCCTCCTCTCTATGTTAAATCCTAATACAATGTAAATGGTTGTTACACTGTATTTAGAGAATGACAAGAAAAGTTTTTACATGTTCACTGCAGATGCAACACCATCCTTTTATTTTCCCCCAATTCGTAGTTGGTTGAATCCATGGCTACGGAACCCACAAATAGAGACAACTGGAATTTGTCCGTGGTCAGGCAGCTACTAAAAGGTGAAGCTCGGATTATTATACGGATTTGTCTGATTCATGTTATGCACGGGAGGAAATGTGGGTTTTACAAGCTGTTTGTCATCGGCAGCTAGTATTGTAACACTGTTAACATTTAACCATTTTTGGATGATACTAGAGACAATTAGTAAGACTGGATTGTGAGTAGACATTAGAGAGGTTTTGTAAACTGGAGTTTGACAAAGAAGCCCTAACGCTCTGTAGTCACTGGAAACTCTTCCAGTGACTGGCACGGGGGGGACTATCCTGTCCAATACTGCTTTACATGCTGCCCTGTAGATTTCTCCATTTACCAGCACTAGTCACAACATTAGTGACTGCTAAAATTGGCAGGTTTTTTAATACATGTATTAAACAAAAGTTTAACGAAATACTAAAGTATGAAATGTCCAATTTCCGTGATATTTCATTTTGCCACTTCTTGTGAAGATATATCCTCAGTCTTTCAAATGCATGGTTTGGTTTATTGATTTATCTTTCACAATTTGTTTTACAGCAATTTTTGCGAAACCCTGGCTGAGTTCCATCATAAAATCAATGGAGTACAGACAGCTCGAAATATCAACAAAGTGTTTGGGGAAGATGCAGCTAATGAATGCACAGTATGTTGGTGGTTTGATTGAGAAGTTCCATTCTGGTGATTTTAATCTTGAAAATGAGCCATGGGGGTGACCTGAGACCAATGAGCTGAAAACTGTAGTAGAAGCAACTCCATCTCAACCTGTGCATGAATTAGCAAGATTGGACATTTCAATTCCAAAAATATGGGACCATTTGAAACAAATGGGCAAAAGAAGCTGGATGGGCACTGCGTGCATTAGACAAGTGTGGCAGCAGAGAAATCATCTCGAAGCTTGCCTTTCTTTGCTGTTGTGACATAAAGGTGAACCATTTCCACGCTGTATTGTTACATGTGATGGAAAAAGGGATTCTACACCATGGCTGGATAAAGATTAAGTGCTGAAACACAGTCCCAATCGAATATTCATCCAAAAAAGCTAATGGTGTCTGTTTGGTGGCCCAGAGCTGGTATTATCCACTACAGCTTCATGAAACCTGGCCAGTTGATTACAACAGATGTCTACTGCAACCAACTGGATGAAATTATGAAGATGCTTACGATTAAGCAGCTGAGATTGGTCAACAGAGGCAAGACAATGCTCGACCACATGTCACACAAACTAGAGGCTGGACTTGGAAACTCTGTCACTGACTGTAGTCACCAGACCTTGCAGCAACTGACCCACTTCTTGCAAGGAAAACTATTCAATTCTCAACAAGCTGCAGAAAATGCCTTTTGTAATTTCATCACCACTCACTCTCCAGGCTTCTTCACTATGGGATAAACAAGCTACCATTAAGATGGCAAAGTTGTGTTGATAGTTTAGGCTCACGCATACTTTGACTAATTGTACTGCTTCTTGTTCGAGAGATAATAAACTACATTTTTGATTCAAAATTGGAGATTTCATAATTAAAAAGCATAAAATAAAATCATGAACAATGTAAAATAGGCTTTAAAAGTTAAAATCCTAGCAAATAGGAAATGGTAACTAAAACAGGTGACAGTATAAACTCACCAGGGGGCTCCACGTTTGACAGGGAAGAATAAACATCAGCTCTGTAGCTGGTGGCCCTGAAGACTGAATGCCTTGTCCCCTTCATCTTATGGTGTCCAGGCAAAACCACCAACTAGAAACCAAAATAAAAAACAGGGCACTGAGTATCTGGTACTGTATTTCCTCACCTGTGACAAAAAGGGAATGAGATTATTGGTAATCAAATATTTTCCTGTTAAACTGTGTGTTAAAATCTAAAGAGATGTGCAGAACTTACTAAAAAGACCATTGTCCTTCAAAATCATCTTGCGGGTTTCTACACACTTGCTACCCTGGTCCAAAACAAATTTAGAAGACAATTCTTTAAAACTGCCTTCCGAACTATGGACAAGCATACAAACACCTTGCTCACTTTATGGTTGTTTTTCTGGGAAAAGTTAAACAATACTGTCCACATAAATAACTCACTAGACTTGCCTCCAAAACACATTTCCAAAAGTCAGATAAAAATCTGTCCCCATTAGAGAATAATACCACCTACCCAAGTTGCTTTGACAATGACGACAGCATCACAGGAGTAATCTCCACATTCATTCTTCAAAAAGCAGTATTCACTGTAACAATATTTTACAGGTTCTGATGTTTAAAAGTTATTTTAATCCCAAACATGTTAATTTTCCCTCCTCATATCCAATACTTACCCTGAAGTTGAATAAACTTTCTCCTCATCTTTATACACCTTTGTCCACCCAAACTGATGAAAAGAGTGGATCAGGCCGTATTTAGTAAGGAGAATTAATTGTGCACCAAAATGCCACATGGATGGCCTGCTCTGGTCAAACGGAGGCCAGGAGGAACTCAACCACAGGCCATCCGCCAGCCTCTCCCTGCTACTCTGTTCAGGCATTTGTGTGTATCTATGTACATACTCGATTTTATAGACATATGCCAGCACTGTAAAATGCATTGTTAGGTAATTTGGAAATCTCAGGGAAATTACATGTATATCCATTTTCTTCATTTTCTTAAAAAAAGTGACATCACTTGTGTGATATCCTTTAAAGCAAAAACTTGTAGGTTCTTACATTAAGTCGTTAAATGTTTGGTTCTGTTACTTTAATTTCCTGAAGCCACATCTTTCTTTACTTACCAAATACACATTCCTTAAATAAGTAAATCCCTGGTCAGTTTCCTTCCTTAGCTCAACCTTTTCACTATTTTTTTTTTTTTTTTTTTTTTTTAACATGCATAGTGTTCTCTCCTTTCAGCAGGGGCCTGGGGGCAGCCAAGACCCATTCTCCTAAAATTTTACAGCTCTCCACAGGCATATTTATAAAGTGTTACCTGAAAATGCCAATGAGCCACCAGACACTCCATTTGTGTGTAATTCATTAAAAAGAATTTACATTCATGCCATAAATAAAAATTATTCCTCTGGCTCTGTTGTGAAAGGATGTGGTAGGTTTGAGTCAACAAAAACCATCTCTAGCCCCTTCTTTGTAGGCATCAGCCACTCCCCAGGTATAAACTCTTATTATGCCAAAAGATCTCAGGGCACCAAGTGGCTGAGATCTGAAACACAAAAACTATATTGACTATAACGTATCTCCTGGGATTAAGTAAAAGCCACAGCCAACCAGCCCAACTCCTGAGCATTATTAATAGTGGCAATGAGGAAAACATTTTGAAACTCAGCTCAGACTGTGCTCAGTGTGGTAAACAATGCAGGCGCACCGTGACATGAATGTCAATTTTAAGAAGCCAAGTTAGAGCTTTAGACTCATTAGTGCCTGTTTCCCAAGTGTAATGTGCAGAATGAGCCACTAGAGGGCAACCGTTTCCTTAACAGCGGTCCCCAACTTTTTTGGCACCAGGGACCGGTTTCATGGAAGACAGTTTTTTCATCTGGTGGGGGAAGAGGGGAAAGGAGAGAAGGCGGAGCTCTGGCAGAGATGTGAGAGAGAGGAGCGGCTGTAAATACAAATGAAGCTTCGCTCCCTTGGCCGCTGCTCACCTCCTGCTCTGCAGCCCGTGGTTCCTAAGTTTCATGGAAGACGACTTTTCCACGCAGGGTGCGGGGGTGGGGAACGAACTCTGCAGCCCAGTCCCTAACAGGCCACAGACTGGTACTAGTCTGCACCCTGAGAGTTGGGGACCACAGCAAAAAACGTGCTGTTTTAAAGGACCGTACCTTGATTTAACCATAGTAACACTACTACACAACCAGTAGAATGGATATAATCAAAGAAAAAGCCAATACCAGTGTTATGAGAGAATGAAGAGAAACTGGAAACCTCACACTTTGCTGGTGGAAATACAATATGGTACAGCCACTTGGGATAACAGTTTGCAGTTTCTTAAAAGTTATAATTACGTTACCATAAAACTCAGCAATTCCACTTACACGAACCTACCCAAGATAAATGAAAACATGCACTCACATGAAGACATGTTCATGAACACTCATGACATCACATCTAATGGCCAACAACTGGAAACAATCCAAATGACCAACAGTATATGCATATGATGCAATAGTATTGAGCAATAAAAATGCTACAGTGTGGATGAGGTGAACCTCAAAAACATGTTTAGTGAAAAGAATCCAGAGGCAAAAGACTATATATATAGTATGAATCAATTTATATGAAATACTCAGGAAAGGCAAATTCACAGCACATCAGTGGCTACCAAGGGGGAGGGGAGGAGTGGGAGCTGACTGCAAAAGGGCTCATGAGAATTTTGGGGGGATAACAAAAATGTTCCAAATCTGGATTATGATGACATTAGCACAGTCTATAAATTTACTGAATCACTGAACTCTGCACTTACGATGAGTGAATTTTATATAAATTATACCTAAATAAAACTGGCCCCAAAACCCCACTGATTTAGTACTGCATTAGAATAGGTACTGGAAATGAAACAAGTTAAAGAAAACAAGTGCACTGTGTATCAGAATGGAATACAAATAGCTACTATGTCATTTAGTTCTGAGATCTGGTTTCCAGACAGGAAAAAAGATCACTATTTGCAAACGAACAGGGGGAAATCAGGGGATTTATGGTCAGGTAAGAATTTTATTACTTTTGGCCAAAGGCCATTACATTTGTTATGTTAAACAGAAACACTCTTTTAAAACGAAAGGTTGTAAAGTTTCAGGCAGAATACAATGATTTTCTGACTCTCCATTTTATGACTCTGTAACTCTGGAGTCATAATTATGAAGGGATTTATATAGCACTTCAATGTGCTGCGGGACTGGTATTATCTAAAATAACCGATACCCGGGACTGAATGGGCAAAGAGAGACACTTGTGGTGACAGGTACTGCAGGGGGCTTTCTAAATACCAAGTAGTCTTACAGTTCCTTTCATGAGCTCCTAGTTTAAATTAAGAAATTTCATATATAATAAACATAAGGGATCAACAAGCTCATTCTCTTAAGGTCTAAGGAAGGTATTCAACAAATTTTACAGAGAAATATAGTGGCATGTAAGAGAAAGATAAGTGATTATCAATGAAGACAAAACTATGCCTTTTCTTTGCCTTCTAGAACGGCAGTGACTAGTGGGGTTACGAGAGACAAGATCATCTGAAGGGCTCTCCCATTAGTATTTAATAGTTCGTAGCTAAAACTATAAACGAAATACTTTTAAATGCTTTACTGGGCTCTCAGGAAAGCAGGGAAACCTCCAAGGGCCAATGGAGACAGAACCTAAGCAGGAGTGGTACTTAAACAGGAAAGCCAACGCTGCCCTGAGGACAAAAGCCATTATCAGCACTGGGACTGGGAAACTAAGTCCTGGACCCGCAGCAAGCAGAGGAGCCAAGAAGAGAACTAAAACGTCCCAGGTCAGTTTTGTTCCCTGATCTGGAGAAACAAATGCAAAACCTGTCTGACAGAGAACTTCCCCAGTTTAGAACCTCGGGATTCCCACAGGTTCAGCTAAGTATACATTTACAAATAAAAATCACCAACACTGGAAGAACGACACACCATAAGGAAACATTCAGCAGA